CACTTAATTGAATATCTTCTTAAAGTGGGTCAACTGCCGGGTCACACTTGAATAAAATGTAATAAAAACAATGTCCAGTGGGGGCCGCACCTGATTAAAAGTCTTGATGAATAAACAACGAAAGTGCAACAAGTTTGGGGGCCATAAAAATGACACCGGCAGAGGTGTAACTACCACAGGGGAGGAGGAGGAGGAGGGGGGAAACACTGTCCAGGGGTTGCCTCGGGGGCAAGGCAACGCGACACTTCACCTTCAGGTTGTTCAGGCTGTTGTTTCTTATTATTTTACACGCTTTCAGCAACAACTTTATTTTTGCACCGCGGCATCTTAATGCCTTGTGCTATAAAATGAAATTTTACGCACTAAGCGCGGCATTTAACACAAACTCGAAAGACTCTCCTCAGAGGCGGGGAGACATAATAAAAGTTGGGGGGAAAAAATGATAAAAAAGCTAAAACTATACCAAAGACTGCCCACCTGCCACCGAATTTCACTCTGCGATGTTGCAAATGTGACATGTTGCCACTAAAATTGATAACTCTATTGCCCATTTCTGTTGATTTTGCTGACGGCGACGGTTTCTCGTCAATTGCTCACCTGATGATTGATTCTGCTGATTGCCAACGAGTTTTGCATATCGCATTTGCATTTTACATTTTGCATTTTGCATTTCGCAGTCAGCATCTCTGCATATTTACCGCGGCCAATTATAATTAATTTCCCTGGCTTTCACGGGTCCAATGCATTTTGTCAACATCAACCAGTGAAGGAGAAACATCGAAAACGAAAGTCCCACCAACATTTACTGGCTGACTGGCTGACTGACTGACCGACTGTCACCGTTTCAGGTGTCCATTCATTCATTACCTGTCATAATCGATCGGTTTAGGGAAGCGCCAAGGTGCCGAGAGTTGATAATGGGTCTGTGGAAAAGGTATTTTTGTGGAGCTCCGCAAAAGATGATGTCTCAATTACTCAAAAGTTTAGCGCAGAGTAAAAGTCATTAGCCATTAATATACATAATGGATTTTCAGTCCATAAAAGTTGAGTCACAGGTAACACAAAACATAATTTGATCAATGATTCTTATTAAGTTTTATATATTACATTAAATTTATTACTACGCATAACCTCGAGGACATTTAACTTCTTTTGACAGACTTTAAAGGAATTAAATATAAAATTAACTTAATTTATTACTCCTTTTAAAGGCAAACCCATTTACCTTGGTAGAAACTTACAGAACTTTCAATTTCCTTGGGAAAGCAAATTGCATTCCCCATGTTCAGATTGCAGGGAGAGAGAGTAGAGCTTGATCTGGAGATGGCAATGGAAATGGAAATCCCAAAGACCTTGTCCATCAGTTTGGTTGTGGTGAATGTGAGAGTACTGACCTGCCCCTGGCCCCCAGTTCCCAGTTCCCAGTTCCCAGTGACTGACTGTGACTGTGACTGGCCGGCAGGGAGATCAGTGATCGGGGATCGGTGGAACCGAGCCTTAAACGGATTTGCAAATGCGACTTGCGAATGGCGAGGCTTCGTTTCGTGCCTAAAACATTTTGCATAATTTGTTTTGCTCACTTTTCTATGTATTTCAAAGCGCTGTAATTTGATTGCGTTGTTGATTTTATTATGAAAGTTGCGATTCAACAATAACAACAGACCGATTAGCATTGCTCACTTTTCACTAAAGTACTTGAAGAAAAATCTATGCTTTGGGAAAGGAAATGAAACAAATCCAAGGAGATTTTTAACTTTAACAAATCAAGTTAATATAAGGATCTTGAAATTTGTTGAATATATATATTTCTTTCTGTGTATACTGACTCACAGTTTCCAAATTTGTATTTCTATTTTGTGTTGTGTTTTTTTTCTAAGCTGAGGGTGCATGTTGCCAGCAATTGAATAAAAACCCTTTTCATGTTAATGCAACATTTGTTGCTCTGTCAGTCGCAACTCGATATATATATATATATATATATGTATATATAGTATGTGTGTTTATAGTATATAGACTAGCAAAACCGACACAATTGGCGGCTCTTTGGCTTTGTACTTGTCTCTCCTTCAGTTGTGGCTGCTGCAGTTGTTTCCTATTAACGATAAAAATCACATGACACGAACTGGTCGCCGATCTGGCTTCGTTTTCTGCAGTTTTTCTCTGGGCCGACGTGCTTTTTGTCCCCGATCCCGATCCCAATCCCGCTTTGCTTTTGGTTTTTGGCGCCGGCGCCACTAACCCACTTTAAGCCCAGTTCAATCCGGGCCCAATTCGAGCCTGGGCTGGCCAATTATGCCACATTATGGCCAGTTGAGTGCCGCCGTTATCGCCATGGAATGACAGGATGCGGCCAATTGGCAGGGCCAGGGCCAAAAGCTGGGATTACGCAACGTCAACGTCAATTAAATCAGTTTTTACTCCAAATATTTTAAGCCAATGTCAACCGAAGCCGCACCGAGAAGATATATTGTCATCGGTCTGCCCATCGCTCGTACGTACGTACACCTTTCCTTTCCCCCAGCTCGATCTTGGGCCCATGCCTGATTGAATTTATGGCCACTCCAAAGGGACTGCGGATCGAGGCCCTCGGGCTGGCGGCTCTGGGCTCTCGGCTGGGCTGGGCTCTGACTTGGCCAATTGTTTACACAAAACTTTCACAAATTAACCCAACCTGTGAACTGAAAAACTCAAAACCGAATGCCCGAAAACGCATCGACTCGATTAAAATGCTGCAAACTTAATTGGGGGCCCCAGTTTTGTCGCACATTCTGGGTGGCCCAAGTCCAGGTTCAGGCACAGTGGTTGTAATTAAATGAAACCGAGTTAATGGTGATGGAATTTAGATATTACTTATTTTTGAGACCCATTAAATGGGGCTTGTTCAATGTCATAGGTAATTGTAGCCAGCTGAAGCTCAGGTTATTAATAAGTCGGTTTTATGTATAGGTTTAAAGTATTAATTTATTTTTGAAATTTTAATTTATGCAGCACTTAGAGACACTTAGAAATAGTTGGAAATTAGAAGTAGAACTAGCTATTTAAATGGGATAGAAACTTAGTAGAGGCTTTAAAATAACCGTTTAGAATGAATTATGAAATGTTTCAAATGCGACAGCAATTATTTTAGTAGGATACATATGAAGTGTATTTATATTATTAATTTTCTCTTTAGTCTTATTAAATAGTACTTACATTTCGGTTTTTTTTTTTTTGGAATTCATTCAGTCATACATATATTTAATCTATATATTGTTTTGGTAATTTCTTTTAAGTTATTTCGTTAATTTCTTGATCATTAAAAGTCTAAGAAATTATGCCAAAAATATTTGCTATTTTGTGTTGCTTTGAAGACATTTTATTCTATTTTTTACCCATCAAATTGTAATTCAAACTGAGTTAAACACAAACTACATTTCAATAGGAAAATATTATTATACTTATAATATTATATTTTTGAAAATACACTCTTGTTATGGAAAATAATTATTAAAAATATCCTTTAATTGCCACTGTGCATCCGTGTTTATTTGTGGTCTTCCTGGACACAATTTCCGCCTTCCCCTGCGGCCAGGAGCAGCAGCTGCTCGGTCAAGTGCAAGTGGCAATTTAAAGAATCGGATCGGGTGGGAAAGGAGGAGTCTGAGGAGTCCGAGGAGAAGGCCTTCCATGAGCACCAAGTGTCTCAATGTTGGCGCCCCCATATGCGCCTGATAATTTCGATTGCTCCAGCTCCTTGGACAACCCCAGCTCCAGATGCAGCTCCAGATGCAGCTCCAGCCTTTCGTGGCTGTGAAGAAAGTTTTGCCGGCTCCTCGGCATCGTTTCATGTGACTGTTGTTGTTTTTGTGCCATGTTTCGAGTACGTACGCGTAGTAAGTGAAATGAAAAGTGCATAAATCTGGCGAGCTGGCAGTTCGCAGTTCGATAAGAATCGAAAAGCGCGAGACAAAAGAACTTTCGCTTTCGTTGCGGGTTTTTCGGCTCTGCCTCTGACTCTGTCTCTGGGCCAAGTAAAAGTGGCCCGAGCCCCTGCATTATTTAACCAAATTTGGCTATTGAATGCAACCGGTCGACGATATAACAATTATGTACGTTTAATGAGCAGCGGGAGCAGATCGATCTTGGTAGGAGTTGCCCGATCATTCCCACTGACTGACTGACTGACAGAGGAGATTGATTGCATAAGTCCGCTGCAACATTGTCACCCGCTCTCCCCGTGGAGCTCCGGTCACTTTCACCAGCTTTTCCTCACACCAGAATCGCTTAGAAGAGTCAGCGATTTTCGCCTGTTTTTTTGTTTTTTTTTTTTTTTGTCGCAGTCGGGAGTGCAGTGATAGTAAAAGTGATAGTCGTTTCCAATTGGAGATTATTATGGCTTAAGTATTTTACGACTTATATAACCAAACACACACGCACACTCGCCATGGAGACGTCAAAGCAATTAAGCTACCCAAACAGACAACGACGACTGGCGATACAAATGCAGGCACTTTTCTAATTAATTTTGGACCGAACTGGAGGGGAGGGGTAGAAAAAAATCTCAATAAAATTTCATTTTCATTGACAGCCGCTTTTCAACTGCAACTCGAATGCAACGTACCGCCTCGCATGATGAAGTGTGGAGACGGCAACAACAAGAGCCACCACCACTCGGTACACTTAATTGACAAGTGTGAAACTTTCGATTTCTATACACCCATTGACATACAAAACGAGACAGCGGGAGAGACACTAGAAAAAATACAAGATGATTATCAAAAATATGCTAATAAATTCAAGGAAATTCGGTTAAGTAAGGTACTTGAAAGAATCATAATAATATCTGATATTTAGCTTAGTTGAAATAATTTACTAAGGGTTTTGACCAGAATTCTATATCCTTTTATATAAACCTATTCAAAATATCATCATTATACAATTAAAGTTACAGAAAACAATTACAAAATATTTGTTTTCTGTGCAGCCTAATGATGCCGCCTGCTATGATTTGTTGTGTCTAAATGTCACAATTCTCCCAAATGATGGGCGGACCACGGGAGGAGCTGGGTGCGCCTGTCTGCCCGGATTGGAGTGTACACCGTTTGGAGTACTCCAATCCTCCAATCCTCCATTGCTATCGCTATCGGGAGCTGATGGCTACGGCGATAATTGCCGATATCTGGCGACTGCCCGGGTGCGTCTCGCGTGCTGACTTGACAAAAAGGCTGCGCAAATGCCATCAAATGATTAACTAACGGCCCAAACTCGAAACTCAAAACTCAAAACTCGAAACGTGCGAAATGGGTGAAATTTTCTTTAGCGTGTTCGAGTGCCGGCCGGTGTGATTTTATACTACAAAAATTATGTTTCAATTAAGTCAAGAGCAAAAAAATGAAAGTTGCTGCAGAGCACCAATGTAATGGCTTAATTGCTGCCACCGAATTGTGGTTAATCCAGGAGATCATAACAAGAGATCTTAAGACCTTTTACTTCAAAATTGAACAGTCAAATGATGTCACATTTACTCATGGCAGAGTTTCTATAACTCTGAAAATATCAAGGGAAAAGAGAATAGGAATTATATAAGATTTCATTGAAGAATATCATTTAAAGATGAGTTAATAAATGAAGCCCCAAACTGACTTGTTACTTAAGGTTTTCTTATGAAATATATAGAAATATTAAAGATTTCCATTATATTCTTATTATACAGTTGAAACTTTCTTTAAGTTCATTATTTACTTGAATTTCAAAGTTGTATTTATAGAAGTATGCCTGTGGTTCTCAAGGAATTAATATCTTCCCAGAACCGACAACCCATCATTTCATATTTCATCATTCAAACATACTCGAAGCAGGTTATAATTAAAAATCAATTTGGCCCAAAAAGTTCCTATTATGCAAGAGCCGCCGCCACAAAAACAGGCTCCTAATAACCACGTTCGTTGCCTGAGTCTTTTGTTTGGCGTTTTGTCAAAGGTGCAGGCTGGAGAGGGAGCAGCTCCTCCTCCTCATCCTCCTCCATGTGCCGCCATCTCCAGACATCAACGTGAGCCGCACATATCGAGCATAATATCGCAAGTCGCCTGCGATGTGGCACGGCATGGTCTATGGGAGACCCGGGTTCATGCTATGTCAAGCATGATCTCGCTGCTTTGAGGCAGGCCTCAGAAGAGAGACCCATTAATGAGCGCACAAACTGGCATTTGACAGATTTTTTAATTAAACCATACAAATTGCGATTCTTCACGCTTTTCGCCACACGAAACTTACGGATATTATTGCTGGCCCACTTAGTCGGCGACATGAAGCTACCTTCTCCTCCTCCAGCAGCTCCATCTCCCAACCGAGGTGGCATTCCATTTGGCCAACGATAAGCGCGTAATCTCTGTTGGCCAAAGTGAAATGCCAATGTTATCTCTTATCTGTGCAGGCGGCAGCTCCCGCGTAAATTCGAGCTCAACAAAACCGAGAGAAAGAAAGAAATTTGCATAGGCGCTGAGCTAATGCATTTTTTGCCTGCCTGCTTACATAATTATCGGCAGCAACATTATGGACAGTATGGACCGGGACCAAGTGCAGTGCTCCTTTCACTTTTGTGCGAGAGCCTGCCTAATTATTCCTGGCCATTGTGTGTCCCCCTGTGATTTCGCACATAATTAAGCTGCGGCGCAAAATTTACATTAAATTAATAGTTTTATTGTTTTGTCTCCCCGCCTGGAGTTGAGTTAGTACCGATAGCTTGAGCTGAAGCTGGAGTAATGCGGAAGCGGCGCCCTACCAAAAATGGGCAGTCGCAAACCTGACACACAAAAAAATCCAGGGAAGATATACTCTATACATATGTTATGTATGGTGCCATTGGCACCACTTGACAATGATAAAGCACCGAAAAATGATTGCGGAATTTATGCATAAACGTGGCCAAACATAAGGTCTAGACTATGCCTCATTTCACTTTCAAGACCCATGCTGTGATGGATCTATAGTTTCTTAAAGATTATTCTTTCTTTTCTTGATTAACCCATGGTTAAGTCTAGAGGCTAAAAGGCCTGTCTTTGTTTATATTAGAAAGACATATAAAATAAAGAAACAATTCATAATATTTAATAATAAATATACACATAGAATGTTCTGTATAACATAATAATAATATAATATAATAAGTTTTATTTGGTAATAGATTTGGAAGGAACTTTATATGTGAATATTAGTTTTTAGTTACAATTTTATAAATTTATGATACTGATAAACATTCGTATTATAAATCTAATATTCATATATGATTCTCTTTGGGTTAAAATTTGCAACTCCCCAACTTGACCTCTTTGTATCAAGAAAGAAAGAAATGGCAGTGCCAAATACAGGTTTTAGTTGACGCGTGAAACCCATTAAAGAACGCCTAAATCTGTTGCCAAGAGGTCGAAAGGTGGCTAGTTTAGATTGTCTGGATTCAGTTAACTTGCGATCGTGTTCTAGAACGGTTCTCACCATGAACTTTGGATTAATAGGACTCGTTATTTCTACTGGGCTGCTGATCCTGGTGGCTAATATCAAAGGACAACAGCAAAGTCTTTCGTGGGGAGGATATTACCTGGACAATGGTACCCACTATCTGCTGTACGAGGGTCCCCAGGCGAAGCCTAGACCCAGACCGAAACCCGTGTCGCAGCACAACCAACTTCATCCCAATTTCGGAAATATATCCAGTAATCCCTTCATCAATTCCCTGAGCATGCCCAATGAGTTCCCCAACAGGATTGTCAATGGTCACAGAGTGAATGTGTGCACCGATTGTCCTTGGCTGTGCTCTGTCCACTACGAGGATTACTTTATATGCGGATGTGTACTCGTGACCAAAGAATGGTGCCTCACTGCCCACCATTGCATCGTTGGACCAGCCGGGAAATACGAGGTGCGTTGCGGATCGACTCAACAGAGGCGTTACGGGCAGCTCCGGACGGTACAGCTGATCGTGGCCAATAAGGGATATAATCCAAATACTATGACCCATGATCTGGCCATGATGAAGTTTAGGAAACCCATGAAGTTGTCAAAGTGTGTGCAAAAGGTGAAATTGCCCGCACCCTCGACCAATCCGTTACCCAGAGTCCTTGATATCTGGGGCTGGGGTCTAACCTCGGCGAATGCCGTAAATGTCCAGCGTTATGCCCTTGGAGCAACAGTTTACCGCGTGGGTCGCAAACAGTGTAATAGAGATTATGCAGGAACAGGTGTGAAAATATTACCTGACATGGTATGTGCCAAGGCCAAGGGCACGGATTCCTGTTCCGGTGACTCCGGAGGTCCAATGACACACAAGGGTGTGCTAGTCGGACTCGTATCCTTTGGCATCGGTTGTGCCAATAGAAACTATCCGGGTGTTTATTGCAAAGTTCGATACTTTATCAAATGGATCCTTTCAGTAATACGAAATTTTTAGTGAATGAATTAGTGAGAAACTACGAAAACTAGACATGCTGAAGAGTCCTTAGTAACGATGATATTTCCAGATCTTATTCTGTAGGTTAATCGGATTAAACACAAACTAATTGTCTTTGTGAAGAAAGAGTCCTTAAATTATTTATTATATTGTTAAAGATCAGAAAGAATCTTTGGACACAAAACCATTAAATTTACATTTTAAAATTCGATGTTCTATTTTATATTATTTAAAGTATAGTTAATTTGTAGTAATACTAATAAGAAATATTTGTTTATAAGATTATGCCAATATAATAAATATTTTTCACTTTAAGAATATCATACTAAAAAAATGATTAATTAAGACAATAACAAATAAACGGAATTAATTGATTAATTAAGTAAACCCCCAGAAGCGATTAGCGAATTTTTAGTTTCGATATATTTTTTTTTTTCAATATTTTGACAGCATATCAAATCTGTTTGCTGCGGGCGAAATTTTGGCTAATTGACTTAGCCTACTTTAACGAATCCAAAGATAAATGGCAAACAAAATATAAGAGAGAGAGAGAGGTGGCAAAAAACCTAAAAGATTCTTTGTGGTAAAAGGTCGAAAGGTAACTCTCTGTTCTACAAGATTTCAGTAGGAAAGACATCACAAACCTTATCGGTTGAAGAAATGAAATTAAGGCTCCTGCCAACTGCTTCGGCAATCGCTATATTTGCCCATCTTTGGATCCTTGTTACGGGTAATCAGACCCAAATTTCGGCCTGGAATGGTCACTATCTGGACAATGGCACCCACTATCTGCTGTACGAGGCGCCAAAGATCCGTAGACAGGACTATCTGACAATTGCGAATATATCCAGTAATCCTGCGATAAATGCTTTGGAATCAATGGATTATCTACCGACTCGCATTGTGAATGGCAAGAGAATCAGATGCACAAGAGCTCGTTATCAGTGTGCCCTCCACTACCGTAGATCCTTCATCTGTGGATGCGTTATCCTGTCACGTCGCTGGATCCTTACGGCCCACCATTGCTTCATCGGTGAACCCGGGGATTACTCTGTGCGTGCCGGATCTGTGCAGCAACGGCGAGGTGGACAGCTGCGTCGTGTCCAGAAGATTGTGGCCCACGGGGGTTATAATGACTACACCATGAACAATGACCTGGCAATGATGAAGTTAAGGAGACCCCTCCGGTACAACCGATGTGTTCAAAGGGTAAGGTTGCCCCGCAGGCGGAGAAGGAGGCGCCTGCCCAGATGCTGCTTGGCCAGCGGATGGGGATTGGCATCGGAAAATGCTCAGAATGTGCAGCGATATTTACGCGGTGTTAAAGTCTGCCGGGTGAGGCGTCGCAGGTGCGTAAGAACTTACCGGAGAGCTGGAATCACAATCACCAGACGAATGATTTGCTATGCGCGAAGGAATCGTGACACTTGCTCCGGCGACTCTGGTGGTCCATTGGTCTACAAGAATGTCCTGATTGGAATCACATCCTTTGGAATCGGATGCGCCAGGAGGAGATATCCAGGGGTTTACGTCGATATCGGAGATTATGTCAGATGGATTAAAAGGGTCAGAAGAAGGCATTAAATTAAATTGTGAATTAAACATATAATTAAAGGAAAACAAAATTAAATTTCTTTTCAATAGTATAGAATTAAGTTGGTATCCTTCTAATGAATCAGGTCAGGTCAACGATTTCTATCAATCATTTCTCATAAAGATGAGTCTAGGAGAACAATTTATCTTGTTTGCTTATATTGATTTATTACTGTACAGAACACACCTTATAAATGAGTGGAATACCTATTTTGCTATTGCTATTTTGCGGATCTGCAAGGTTGTTCAACTTTTTCGCATATTATTAATTCGGTTTGAAAGTTAATATATATGCAAAATGTTTGGAATGACCAAAACTAAGAAATATGTGGGCCCTTTTGGAAAACCAATCTAAAAGATCTATGTATATAATGCACAATATTAGAACAAGTTCCAGTCGTTCTTATAATATTGTCATATCATTATGAATCTCATCAATATGCATGCCAATTTCAGTAGGTCATATGGCAAAGCAGGGGGTCATTAGCATATTTGATTCTATTTCTTATTTTCTTATTTCTTGGCCTGGAGTTCGCGCCCAGAGGTCAAGAGCTCAACTCTCAGTAAACAGTCGCGGTTAGGTCTTAGCGGTAGCTTTGTTTTTGTACGGATGATGAAACTTTTGGCGCTACTTTTATTGCTCATTTGTGGCCATAAAATACGGGCTAAATTGCTGCAGGAACGGATCATAGGCGGTGTGGAGTTACCCATTGATGTGTCACCCTGGTTGGCTTCATTAAGTGTAAATGGAAACTATATTTGCAGTTCGGCATTGATTACCTCCCAATGGTTGCTGACGGCCGGGCATTGTGTCCACTTTCCGGATAAATACCATGTCCGGGCAGGATCTGTGTCCCCCGAAGAGGGAGGGGTAACCAGGGAAGTGGAAAGTGTTATCCTGCATCCGGGTTTTAAGCTGCGAACCCTGGACAACGACATTGCATTGCTAAAGATAAAGAACCTCTTCAGTTGGGTGACAACATTCAACTGGTGAGACTTCCACTGCCAGGACTTAATATCCTTCCGAGAACCCTCCTGGTGGCTGGCTGGGGCAGTGTAAATGCCAATGTCAGTGACACAGAACTAACACTACGTGGCACATTCGTGGATGTCATAGATCAGAGGCGTTGCCAGCGACTCTATTCTCGTGTAGGTCGTCCCATTACAGCCAATATGTTGTGTGCGGCATCCTTTGGTCGAGATCATTGTTATGGAGACTCTGGTGCTCCTTTGGTTCATCACGGCAGTAGCTATGGGATTGTATCCTTTGCTCATGGCTGTGCTGATACTCGTTTCCCGGGAGTCTACACCAGGCTGGCCAACTATGTGACTTGGATCTTGAATGTGCTGAAAAATTAGGACTGCAGAGAATGCAAAGCAAATACAAAAGTATACGATTATCCCCATAAGTTAAATAACAAAAATATTCACAATCAAAAAAATAAAGACGAACCACTTGAAAGACTCCTCTTGCCGCATTTGTTTCGCTCCTGGAATATTCAGAGGATTATACAATCCACAAGCATTTCCCAGCCATCTGAGGAGCCGCACTCGCTTCGTGCCCAAGCAAGGCGATAAACTCATACCGCCAGTCGACGGCAAATTTGTGTAAATTATGTATTTGTGCATTTTGATTTCATTTAAACGAAGTTTCCTGATGGCCCCCAGCGCATGTCAAATATCAAAACCGAAACCAGCCTGCCAGCTAGGCCGCCACTTGCGCAACACATCCCGCAATCCATATCCATACGTCCGTCCATATCCACATTCGCAAACCCATCTCGAATCCGCATCCATCCCAGATGGCTGACTGGCTGGCTGGCCAAAATATCACTGCCATATGCGGTGGGCGTGCTCCGTTAATGCTGCACTCTGGCGGCCCCCCGAAATTAGCATAATCGTGCTGCCGTTGCTGTGGGGATCGGGATCGGGATCGGGATCGGGATTGGTATTGGAACTGGGATTGCCTTTGTCCGTTTCGTCGGATGCTGCCTGTTGGCGCCCCAAACAAAGTGTTGAACGCTGGCGCTGGCTGTCAAGTGGAGGCCCCCAGGCCATTGGCACACTCATGAGCCCGCTTAGCACTTTGTGTCGGCATCAAAAGTGGTCTGACTTTTACATCAACTTCCTACACACACATATTTTGTTTGTTTTTATAAATAAAATATAAATTTTTAATATGAAAATATGCCAGGGCGTAGTGAGTAAAAGTTACTTGCAAAAGAGATTTGAGTTTTCTATGTTTTACGTGTATGTATATTTTGTTATCATTAAGTTACGCTTATACAATTCATTACGTATTCTAACCTAAATGTATACCATTACTTTGTTTTGCTCTGTTGTTTTTGTTTCGTTTTGCTCTTGCCATATTGTTCTTTGTATATATATGTATAATGTGGTTCAAAGGTTCTTGTAAATTTGAAACTAGTCGCTAATGTAAAAGTGTTCAACAGCAAACTCGTGTATGCATTGTGTCTTGAAGGTGGACCAAAAGCGAATGCACAAACACAAATCAACTGCAAACTCGACAAAAATCTTCAAAATGTGTGTTTAAAAATCGATTTAGCCAAAAGCCTTTAATTCTTGTTATTTTTTTTTGTTTTTTGCACACGCACATGCACAATAAATTTCACAATATAAGAACGTAAAAAATGTACAATTACAAGCACACATTAATTTGTTTTCAACACTTTTTCTCTTTACCAATTATGCAATCTTTAAAGCTATATAACAATTTTTTAGTTTTCATTTTTGCATCTCTCGTTTGGACTCGATTTCGGATTTCGCTGCCGTTTTTTGTGAATCCCGTTTTAGTTTTTGGTAATCGCCTCAACAAGGATACAAATCAATCAAACAGCAGGGGATCTCAACTAAGGATCGATCGATAATCCCCAAGTCCAGCACTCAACTTAAAAGGGATTAAAAGTGTGGGAATTAAAATGTAAATCGTATGGTGGATAATTTCATAGTCAGTTGAGTGGCTGGGCCCTGGGGACTTTTGTTTACATGGATTAGTTATTGCAAGTTATGTTTGAATTTGCAAGCTTCCTAAGGGAAATCCAGGCAGAGTTCTTATATTCACTCATCTTGGCTGCTCGATTCCTCACTGCCTATCGCTGGATCTACTCTGTTTCTCTTTCTCTCACGTACATCACATATTTTACAGTTTAATAATACTTCCTTACACATAATTTATTAATTAATTCATATATCTCTCTGCTAAAATTGGTTGCTTCTCCATACACCGGCCAGACCTTGATTAGTTGACGATCCCTCTCTGTTGCTCCTGCTTCATTGATCGACTTTTATGTTTACGACAAAAACGGGTTTGTAGCTCCTTCCGGCTTTATCCACGGCATGTTGTTGTTTTGCTGTAAGGTTTCAGATATTTCATTAGATTTTTGTTTTGAAAGCTTCCTTATCTAATTCTAATTTTCACGCTAAAAGCAAACTACATGCAAAGTCAAAGAGCGTTGTTTAGTGTGTTATTTTAGCCAGTGGGTATAGAGGGATTAAGTAGTTGTTAGAAGGAAAGGCTACTACAGGAGTTAGATAGCAGAGCATGCACATTCGAAAGACATTTTACCCATTATTCTCATTTATTGCATATTGTATGTGTTTTATTTAAGCGTCCAAGCCTCCATGGTTGGCTACAATTAGAAAATGTTATGGATCAACTGGTTTTTTTAGCAAAGCTTTCTGCTTTCTGGTCAAGATGCGTACGTTGTTTTTTCCGAAGGAGCAGCAAAGGAAGCAATGCGAACACAGCTTCCCTCACTGTCCTCCCCAGTTAGCAGTTCGTAATTCTCATACTTGCTAGTCAAACGAAAAGGAAACTAATTCAACAGAAAGAAAAAAACACAAAACTAAAGATAAAAACGCAAGCGAAACAATAGAAACGATAAAACGACAACAAATCTGGCAGAGGAAGTAGTATTTGGGATATCTTTTTTGGCGCAACACACACAACTTCAACTTCAACGACGACGGCGGCGGCTCACACTCACTTCCAGCTTGCAGTGACCGGCGGCAGCGGATGAGGTGGTGCCGAACCTGGAGGCAGGATCGTCCACAAAACCAATGGGAGCAACACTGACACCCGGAGTTTCAGCCAGGGATTCGGACAGGGCACTGCTGTAGGTGGCAGCATAGCTTGAATAGATTCCCGGAGTTCCATAATTGTTGTTAATGCTTGTTGGGCTATTGTACATATTGTAGGAATCATCGGATGGCGCTGTTGGACTATTGAAATAGGGTCGCTCGCTGAATATGTCCATGTTGCGGATGCCATCGATGCCGGGACTGGGACTCACATGGTTGTACATGGTGCTGGTGCTGGGCTGGTGCTGCTTGAGCTGGTGATGTGACCGTTGTATTGATGATTGTACACCTGCGAACTGGTCTGTGGCTGGGGGATGATGGTGGCGGAGGGAATGATGGGATTACTAAACGCACTCAGCAATTGAAATTCACCCACGGAAGAGGGCCCCAAATTGAGGCTGGTCGGACGCACGGGAGGCGGAAGTTTTGGCTGGGAGGATTTAAAGTATCGACATGCAACAGTTGCTCAAAAACAAACGAAATGACGTAAAGGAAATCAAAATGCATACGTAAAATGATAAGATAGTGTTGTTTGGGAAATAAACAGAAATGCCGATAAATCATCAGACAGTAATAAAAAAAACCTCAAAAGATTAAGTACAAGTACGAAGAATTCCTAGCACCTCTGACGTACTCCATCTCCATGTTAATCTGTCACCTTTTCGTATCCAAAACTCACCTGGGAAGGAGCACTGACGCCACCCATAACAGGTGCCCAAGGATCCTGGTTCATGCTGACTGCGAAGGGAGCCTGCTGTTTCAGCTGGTTGATGGACGGCACCTGTTTTGAACATTAAAGAAAGTTTTTAGCCATGAATTCTAGGAGATCTTTATGCACAACTCACGGCTGGCTGCTGTTGCTGGAATAGATTCGTCTTGGGTGGCATCACGTTGTCGCTGAAGGGATTGTAGGCTGGAGCATTTCCCGTTTGTGTCTGCGGCGCAATCGGTTTGATCAAATTGTCCAGGTTAACCAGCGCCGAGTTCTCGCCAAGGAATGAGTGCGGATCCTTCAGCGGTTTCTTTGCAGTGGCCCCCGTTGATGGATGCATACTGCTGCCGTTTCCATAGTTGGACGATAGCGGATCCATGTCATCGAGCAGAGAAGCTAAAAGTAGTAGTTTTATAGAAATGAGAGCTTGATATGTTTACTCAGCTGGTATCTAGTTTCCTTACCGTTGTTATTGTTGTTGGAGGCGTTGGAATTGCTTAGCTCGCTCTTGTTTCGGTTGGTAATCAAGTCGAACTCGTCAAATTCCGGGGATGGTTTCTGCAATTAAAACGAAAAATTAATTTAAAATCAAAATTAAGTTAAAAATTTCCCTCAATAAGGTTAATAATCTTGTTCTGATTTAGCAAACTATGTTCTCCTGACATTATCTTTGGAAGCTTTGATTAGATTATTTAATTATCTGAATTTTAGTTAGTTCCTTAGATAATGCAATTATATAATTGGAGGAATCCTAGGTGCTAATAAGATTAGCCAAACAGTGTGCTCACCTTAATGGCGCCTGTTCCTAGTGCTTTCCAGGGGTCATCCAATGCTGCCGCTCCTGACTGTGGTGCAGCTCCACCCGCCCATGGATCTGCTGAACCGGCAGCACCAGCTCCTCCGCCTCCTCCTGCCGCAGCGGATGGTTCCGCCAGCCATGGATCCGCTGGAGAGCTGCCATTGTTTGCCGCATGATGGTTGACTGGTGCAGCCGCCAAAGCTGCTCCTGCTGTAGACTTCGAAATCCAGGCATCAACTGGAGCTCCCGCTGGAGTGGCTCCACGTCCATTCTGATTGGCATTGCCGTTGGTTTGCAGCCAGCCCTCGTTGGAGGAGCCCGATGCGACTGATGGCGACTGGTTGCGTGCTCCCCAAGCATCACCAGATGCTCCTCCCGGTGCCGCAGAACTCATGGGCACTCCGCTACTCATGATGGTACGTGGCGCAGCATTGGGATGCCAGGGATCAACCTGGGGCGAGGAGGTTCCCGACCAGGGATCCGACAACTGGCTAGGTGCTCGTGGACCGGGCGTGGCCCACGGATCGACAATGGCAGCAGGGGCGCCGCCTGCAGCGCCCAGCGGTGGACTCGAGATGCTGGTAGCGCCCAAAGAAATGTCCAGCAGATCCAGCAAATGACTCTGGGGCTCCTCCTTCTTGGGTGCGGGAATCGGACGACCGTTGTGATCCCTCACGCTGAGAATATTACAGAATTAGATATAGATTCAGAAATATATACCTCAAAAAACTTACTTAAAGTCCTGCTCGCTTTGGCTGAGTGCCAGCTGGAGACGCACATCGTCGCTACGGCGCTTGGCCTCCTCCTGCTCGGCTTCTTCTCGCGACATGGCCATGGCTAGCTGAAGCTGCAGTTCCTCCTCTCCAGCCGTCTGCGGACGAACCATTTCCAGCTCGGAGACCGACTTGGGCGGCTCCTCTTGCCATCCTGGTGGCAAATCCCGCTGCGAGGGTCCATCTATGTAGCCATCGCTACCGAAACCGCTTGGATGCTGGGCGAATCGCTCCTTGGCCTTCAGTGCTTTGACTCGCTCGTTCTTGAGCCGTTCGTCATCCTTGAGCAGGTTTACCAATTGCTTGGCCTTCTCCCGGACGTGAGTTCCCTGGTCCTTGCCCTCCTCAAAGTAAACAAACTCGCGCAACGTCTGGATGGCGAAGATGTTCTCCTTGCATTGCTGAGCAACCTTCTCTGTGCCGGTCTTGATCAGATACTCCAGCAGTATGAGTGCCTTGTAGACGTGGCGCCAGTTCTTGCCGTGATCATTGAGACGCTTCCATATCATCTGCATGATCTCGGAGAAGGCCACCACATTGTAGGTGAGATCCGCTATCTCACCCATAATGGCGGCCGATGGACCCCATGGGTCATTGGAGGTGGCCTCACGCACTTTGACCTGTTTGGAGGAAAGAGTTTAGTTAGGGGATTTCGATGTTATCGAAGATCATGTAGATCACTCACCTGAGCATCGGAGTAGTTGTGCGCAAGGTTCTTGATATTTCGGCGTAGACCCGCGACATTGACCTGCATATCGTCCTTTTGCTTTCTCACTGTGTGACGAGAAGGATGGAAGGGAGTGTTAGCATGGCTATACCGGCTCGATCATACCCTTTTTGGGGAATTGCGAGGTGGATTTGTGGTAGGGAGAGAGGATGGGTTTATTCGTTCGTTCTCGGGATAACTTTTGTCGCTGTGAAAGTTCCGCTTGATGTGATTGCAAATCGGTGTTGATCGAATTTTGGATTTTTGTTTTTTTTTCTATTTTATTTTGACGGTATCTCTAAAGTTTTGCTGAATGGAATTTCGAATCTAATGTGTGTTGGAATGTATGTAGCATTTGTGGGTGTCGGATTACAAAATCTGAACAAAAACTAAAACACAAACGGTGTGGAACAGTGTTTCATGGTATGTGATGAGTAATCGATGAATATGCTGCTGCTGTTGCTGCTCTTTGTGTAGTGGGAATCGTGTCAAAGTTGAACTCAAAATCAAATCGGATCGGTTTAATATACACATTCTGATAGATAATACCATTTTCTATTGAATTTGATTTATTCGTTTGGCGGTGTAGTTGGAGAAGAGAACTTGTTGTTTTTTTAAATGAGATGTATTAACATTGAGACTTACTTTTCGTTTGTTTTTGCGTTTGACTTTGCTTTTATTTTCTATACAAGAGACTTTTGCTTGCAAAAGCTTGAGATTCTTTTTCTCTTATTGTATTTTTTTCGTTTTTTGTTTTTGTTTATTGCTGTTTAAGTGCTCCAAAGCAAGCTAAGTATGAGATACAAGATAAATACAATCAAAATACATAGTATAAGAGTACAGATACGGATATACATATTAATATATATATTTTTATAGTCAGATGTCGGTTGTTAATGTTATCGACGTTGCAGTAGTGCAAAACACACATAGTTCCATAGATACTATACATAATAATTTGCCGAACTCAAAACTCAAGTGCACCGAAACAAAAAAGAGTGAAAGCATATGTTAAAATAGAAAACCAGTCGAAATTGAAATAAACCCAAGTGAATTTGAAACGCCGGTCGAAGGTTTTTGCGCGTGCACTGCCCCAAAATGCGGGTAAAGAACCAGAACTCGAAATAGCTGGACCCACCAAGTCCAGGGCCCTCCAACGCCTAGGGGAAATAATTCAATTTGCGGGCAAACAAAATGCAAACCGAAATGAATAACAACACGGAGCAAAAATAAAACGAAACATAGCAGAGAGTATTTCCCTTGAATAAACAAAAGCCGACTGTTAATACTCTTTCCAATAAAAGAAACAACAATCGAGAGATTGTAAACCCATTCGATCTTGGCTCAAGTGCTCATAAGATTTCAAATACGATATTGTTATAAAAATAATAAAAATTATTTATACCACATTCAGAAAATATGTTTAAATGAATTGAAAATATATTAATTAGATATATGGAATAAAAAGCAAAAATCATTTTATAATGATCTACATACATATACTTTTTAAAATTTACAAAGAATTGGGATATTAAACATAGCAATCTTAGATACTTTGGCTTGAAATTATAAATAAAATATTTGCATTGATCTTTAACTTAGAAACCAAGAGAAACAGAAGATTATACAAAGATGTAAAGTAATACATCTTTAAGACTTGTTTTTATAGCTTTCTTGAACCCTTAAATTGCTTTAGTTTTATTACTTAAAGATCCCTTGACAACAGTTTCCACTTAGTGGATAGGCCCCTCACTGCATCCAATGCCTTTTGCTTGAACTTAACCCATGACAGACCCAAGCGTGAAGCCGCAAAAATGTAAAATAACCAAAGAGGAGGAAACCAAAGGGAGGCCCTTGGACAGACAGTCGTCTACGTCCATGTCTGGATATGCAAATTCTGAGCGTAAGCTGCATTATGCATTTAAAACCAAACGGCGAAACAACTATAGCTAGAAATTATAGCAAATGAATTGATTTTTCCTTTCTTTCCTTTGTCGAGGTGCGCTCATCTATTTATAAATGCAAAACAAAAAAAGTGCACACAAGATAATCAAATTGTTATCGATTGGCTGGGCGCTGGCACAGAGGCAAAAGTTCTTTAAGAAGAATTTCAAATAAGGGGTTACTCGGGCATACAAAGTTCGAGAATATAATTTATAAACCAGATGACCATTTCAAAGCTAAGCTGTTTAACGATAAGATAGCAACGTGCATATATATTCAAAATATTTATAACTTTTTCTGTTTTTAAAAGTCTGTAAGTTGATGTTGTTTACGTCTCAAGCTGATAAAAAGAAATTTTATAACAGTGCGTATGTTAAATTTAAATTGTAATTTTGTTGTATTATTTTTATACAAACAATATGAATAAATGAATATATATATCATTCATTCTTCATGAAATATTGCCCAATAAAGCCATATATTTTTATCAAATGTCAGTGAATAATAAACACATTTACGTGAGGTTTAATTATTGTAATGATAATGATAAGATAAGAGTTCATGTATCTTGTGGATAAAATAATATTATAATATTTTTTTATGCTTATATTTCCCACCTCTGAAAAGTGAGTGCAGAACTTTAAAACGCACTGTACCGTAGTTACCGCAAAGAATTCGGACATGCGAATCAACAACCAGTTAACAACTGGAGAATCTTTGTAGTTTCTCTATAAGCCCGTTTCTTGTTAACGTCTGACATTTATTTATTTTGATTTTCTGTTTTATTTTCGTTCTTTATGTTATATCGTGTAAACAACGCACTTGACACATATTGGAGTGCCGCAGAGAACCCGCCTTGAAACTATAGTCCACAGATAAACCCGTTGGACAAGTATTCGAGCTATTCGAGAAACCAAAGTGATAATGGGTGGAACTTTAGCATCTGGGGAGATGGAGGGATTGGATTCATTGACCGATCCACAGTCGTCATCGTTGTAGTAACGACACGATAGCCGGGAAATGAGCGGAAGGGCTGTCATTTTGTTTGTTTTCGTTACGCCCCAAGAAGGCGAAATAATTCAATTAAATGTCGCGCAGTAAGACGAGGAAAACTACGCAAATGAAGTGCAAGAGTCGAGAGATGATATTGGTTGGTTTTTTTGGTCTGTTTTTGGTCGCCTGGTGAACTTGAGTAAATTGAATGCCAGACAGAGCAACCGAAAGTGGCATATGGGGACGGAGGCCGGAACGGGGAGCTTTCTTTGTGTTTTGCACTTGACTTTCGGCAAAACGTCGCCGTTTTATTGCCAAAAATAAAAGTTCACTTGTGTGTGGGTATCAAAACAAACAGAATGCCGAACGAGTTGCGATTTTACTTTGTTCCAAGGCAGAGAGCCTTGACGGAATCGGTTCAATGAACGTGTCCGCGGAAAAAGCTTGACAACACGCTCCAAACACCGAACTAAAAACCCGAAAGGAGGAGAGGAGGAACTTTGCCCGAGGTTAAGGTGTTGCCCGATTGGTATGCGGATTGGAACTGAACTGATTTGCTCGATATTACTTATTGTATCTAAACGCAATTATTTCAAATCGAAATATTCCACATTCACGAGGCTGTTTGACGTCCAGTTTTGTTAGCCGTTTAGCATGTTTCCGCTAAGGTGATTGCTATATTGATGATAGCCTGTCCCATTAACCCTCTGAAAGATCGTTCTAGGGGAAGAGTCTATAAGCTCAGAGGTCTTAAATGGTTATTTAATGTGCTTATTGAGTTTGATTTTAATTCCTTGACCTACTTTAAGTAAATTTAAATTAAATAAGAAACTTTCATATAAAAATTGTTCTAAATAAATTGGTCATCAGTTTAAATACCTTAATTAAACATATAGTCTTTGCGTTTATTGACATAATAAAACATTATCAGGTAAACATTTGAAATAATAGTATAGAACATAAACATTAATTGTTCCTAAGAATCTAAACTCTCAATTAAACCTTGAAAGTTTCAAAATATCTGTTGGCAAATTATAAAAGTTATTAGTTGTTTTTAGTAAGAAATCTGGTTAGGGTTTTTCATTGAAAAACATACAAAATCGTTGTTTATTTACTCCTGAGGCAATAATTAACTAAATTCCACTAATTACTGATTACTCTCTTCGCACAAATTCATGACTAATACAAAACTTAAGAACTACTATGTTATGTTTTCAGTTTTCAGAGCTAGCGAAAAGCTTTGTTCAAAATTCCACTGGATAATGATAAGCTTTTCCGGCAAAATGAAATGTTTGCTTGTGATTTACGTTTATCTCTTCTCTCAGATGCTTTTGTTAACCAGGTGCTAAGGGTTAACCACTGTCCATGAAGGTCATTGGTCGCTGATGATGCCCACTGTGCAACATGATCGCTGGCGACAGCAAGTTCCGTGCCCCGTACCTCCCTCCCCCATATACATACATACATAGTTGCATTTTCCAGAGTTTGCTGCATCTGTTGTAAATGCGGGCGTATATTATATAGTTGTGAAAGCACAGTGGCGGTCATAATAATAGCAGTTGGCAATGGATATGTTTTAAATTCTTTTTAAATTGAAACATAATACATTTGATATTGTAAACTAATAATGATCGGTAGGGAGTAATATCTTTAATTTAAGAAACTTAATTAGTGAGCGATTCCTATTATTATGACTGCTTCTGCAGTTGTCCATGGGTGCTCGTCCATCGGTGTGTGTGCGTGTGATAACGAGTCAGAAATGCGATTAGATTTCATTTGTGACACTCAAACTACTCAAACTAGCAGACACACACACTCACACAACCGTTGGGGGGCACAAAAATGCGAACTTCATTCATTACTCATACGCAAAGAGGGGCCCCCCTTTTCGCATAAACCTGTTCCACCTTTTGGGCCAACGCCCCCCCGCCCCCTTTTCGACCGCTACGCCTCTGTTGACCGGAGGCCTATGACTAATTTTTCGACCGGCTAACGGCACTTATCAATAAGCACGCACGAAAATCAACGAAACAAATAAAGGCCAAGCGTTATCATAAATAACTAAAAATGTTAGCGTGGGGAATAACATTTAAATGGGGGGGATCCTTAATATTTATAAGACAAACTTAAATAATAAAAAAAACAAACACACACACATTTACGACAAACACAAAAGAGAGAAATGTTTGCCCCCGCTCTCTTGCGCTCACCTGCAATGTTGCTGTCTTTATTGTTGTTTTACTTTTTTGTTGCTGCTGCAGTCCGCCCGTGTGTTGGTGTGAGTGGGGGGCTCCGTGTGTGTGTCTGTGTTTCTTTGTGTGCAAGTGTGTGTGTGTGGATGTGTACGACTCCTCCTCCCCAAGTTTTCTAGTTTTCTATATTTTACGACTTTCTTTTCTTTCTTTCCTCCGACTCAAATAGACACAGTCACAAGACGATGATGACGACGGCGACGTCAACAAAAACACAAGGCCTTCGCGCACAAGATCTTTATTAGCGGGCTAAAAAGTTACCCTTTTGCACTTTGCACACCAAACACGAATTATTAGTATTAAATAATAGATTTAATATGTTTAATTATTATTAAATCTGGATCTGCTTTTTCTGTTTCGCGTTTTTTTTTTCAATGATTCCTGTTTGTGCAGTGTGCCCGCCGGTTTTACTACTCAAAATACTACGAGTTTTTCAGAGAAAGTGTCGATTTTTGTCTTTACGCCGGCTGGTCACACTGGCGAGCAAAAGACGTAAATGAAAAGTGTTTCCACACCAAAGTTGACACTTTATCCCACATAGTCTGGCAACGCCAATTTAATCTTTCAAAAACCCAAAAATAACTGCCACAGCCACAACTTTGTTTTAAGTTTTCTTTTTCTTTTAAAATTCTTTAAATCAAATAAATTAAACAAAATTCCATTTTTATTTACGATTTTATTTAGAATACCATTTTCACTTTCATATAATTACACGCTAAAATCTATTTTCTCATTTTGTTAACGAAACTGATAACAATATATTTTTCTCTTTTGTTTTTTCTCGTGTGTATTCAGTTTGTGCCTGTGTGCACTGCTACGATTGCTTGGTGTGTGTGTGTGTTCATTTGAGTGTGTGTATGTGTTGTGTGTGTGTTTGTTATTAACATTAGCTCGATGCGATTTGTTGTTCTTTGCCTTCGATTAACTCTAAGTACTATATACGTGTATACAGTTATTAAATATAGATGCAGTTGCATATTTCGATATCGCCACCGGCGCCACTTCCTTCCGGTATCTAGCCGGTCGTCTTTCGGTTTTTCATCTCACGAATTTATTGGTTGCATTAATCAATATTGGTTTTCAAGTATTAGTTAATATTTTAATTAAAAACCCGGACATATATTGGATTTTTTATAAAATCTTCTGAAATAGAAACACTTTAGATTTAAAATCAATTCAAAATGTGTTCAAAAGTATGCAATGAAATGTTTTAAAGATTCATAAATCATTGCAAAGTCTATAAAACTATTCATCAAACATTAATCTCTTAACTTTCATTCTTTTAACTACTTTATAACTTTCAAGACGTTTAAAAACTCATTTATTGTTTTAAATTCCATGAGATTAAAAACCGAAAGACGCCCGTTGACCAACGCCAAAACACATACATACATACGCGAAATTGAGCCCCCAACAAATAAGCTTAAATCATAAGACGGTCCTCTGTCCGTTCGTCGGTCCTGGGTCATATCGATGTACTCTCCCGTGTCTGCTGCTCCTCCTCCTTCTCGTTTGCGGTCGAACCCCCGAAATCATAATCGAATTTTCGAAATAAAAATCGACGAAACAAAAGTCAACAAAAAAAAGCGTCCGACAAACTGTTCGATTTAGCGATGGCTTAAATAAAAACATAAGAACTAAGTTAACTTAAGGCATACAAATCCGAATCTCGCATCTGCCCGCCGTTTGCATGCTGCTCCGCCCCGATCTCGCTCCAGGTTCCTCCAGCTCCACCGCCACCTGCTCCTCATGCGCTGTGCTTTACAGTAAAATAATGTTTTGTGGGGAATCCCCCGCAGTACCTACACCCGGATGCCTCACTCCTCCGGCGGCTCCTCTGGTATCTGAAGGCTCTGCGCCGCATGCGGATACTCTGCATGCACGGAGTTGGACTGCGCATCGGAGTCCTCCTCGAGGGCATTCGCCTTGCTGGGCGGCGGTATTAGCGCCTCACTGCCGGCACCCAGCGGCGGTTGCACCAAGTTGGGAATATACTCGACCGTCTCATATTCGGTCTTGGCCACCGCCTCGTGGTCGAGATCCCTCTCCAGCTCCAGGTCCAGCTGCCTCTTCCTCTCTCGCTCTCTCTCTTTGCGTTCGTGTTGCAGCGAATCTTCCAGACCGGGCGGTGGCACCACCACTGCGGACTTCTCCTTGAGCACCTGATCTCCGCCAGCCTCTGCGTTTGCCGTGTCGTTGAGAGTTGGAGAGGCCAGATCGGCCTCCTGCAGTTCCACGATCACGGGCAGCGTTTCATTGGGCTTTGGAGTCGTGGTGCTGGTGGATGTGGTGGTGGGCGCTGTGGTTGTGATAACTACTTCTGTGGGATCAAGAGCCACCTGACTGCTGGGCGTCGTTGTAGTCGTCGTCGAAGTAGAAGTAGTAGTGGTCTCCTCAGTGGTGGAGCTGCTCGTTGCAACAGGAGTAGCTGTGGTGGATTCAATCTTTTCCACTTCCGGTGCCACAGGCAACGGCAGAGGTGGCGCTGGAGTGGTGGTCAGTAGCAATGGCGGCGGCAAAGGTGGCACTATAGCTGTGCCAATGATCACTGGATTATGAGCGGTTGGCCAAGAGTGGCGATAATGGGGGGCAGCAGCTCCTCATTGCCCTTGAGTAGCGAGGGCACCAGCTTTATATTGGTCACCATAAGGGGCAAGTCCACTTTATAGAGCATGGGTAGAACAGTGCAAACCTCCTGGTCGTTCTCGAAGCACTGCGAGCGGCCACGGATGCGGGCCTCCTGGACGGCCATCAAGCGGCATAGTTCGTTCAGGCGCACATCACACATAATGGGATTGTCTGTGGATATAAAAAATATAATATAAATATATGTATATATATGATATAATAAGACAAATTTAAGTGCAATTGAATAATAAACAAGGGAGAGTTAGTCAGCGTTACAGTTGCAACATCAATATGTTGATAGGAACTGAAAGTGTTGCTCAACATGTGTTGCTCATGCTCAAACATTTCCTAGCAACATTTTATGTTGTGTATTCCGCAGTGTTAGGTTTAGTTTTTGAATACGTTGTATGCGAAATAAGATTATAATTAATATCACTTTTTATGAGTGATTAATTTTTGTTTATAGTTTAGTTTATAGTCCAAGCAATGAAAAGCTTTATTTACAATTTACTTAGACGCCTGTCTAAGCAATAGTATATAATAATAAACAAGTTTAAAAACTAATTAAAAGAGGTTTTTATAGTGCTTTTGTTTAATTACTTCCTAGTTAATGCTCAATTTAATAGAGAGACTTACCATCTAGATGTATCTCCAGTTTGCCGGGAACATTGTGATTTTTGCAGCGCGTATTGGTGACAAGTTCACTCGATATGGTCGAGATTTGATTATTGGTTAAATTGGCCTGGCAGAGAACAGGCAAACCCTTGAAGTCCTGCTCCAATTTAGTGATGTTGTTGTATGCACCTTAAGGATCTTAAGGTTTGGCAACAAGGTCTTGAAATAAGAATAGATTCCTTTAGTATTTATAATCTAATATAAGTATATAAGTAATCTTTACTCACCGTTTCCATGGGCTTTAGCTCCGCCAGCTGATTACCGGTCAGGTCGAGAATCTCCAGGCGGTGCATACCATCAAAGTCACCCACCTGGAGATGCTCCAAACGATTCTCGGCCAGGCTGAGTATACGCAGGTTGCCCAGACCCGCCAGAGCTCCGTTCAGTGAGTCGATTCTGTTGTTGTCCAGTTGCAACTCGAGCAGAATCAGATCCTGAACACCCCGTGGATCAGGCAGCAACCGCTCGATGCGATTGCTGGACAAACTGAGAGTCCTCAGAGAGCGCAAACCATGTAGCTCCGCCATGGAGAATCCTCAATGTCGTTGAAAGAGAAGTTGGCAAACTTGAGCTTAGTGATCGGCAGCAGAGAAGAGTTGAGGGAGCGAATGTGATTGCATCCGAGTTGCAGATTCTCCACCTTGTCACACGAGGCAAACTCATCTCGGGCTAGGTATTCCAACTCATTATTCTCGGCCAGCACTTCGGATAGATTGACAGCATTACGTAGGACACGATCGAAGGAACGAAGACGATTAAAGTGCACATGCATTGTCTCCAGATTGTGCATCCCAGCCATGTTCGCCGGGAGTCGTTCCAATCGATTGTTGTGGGCCATCAGCAGACGCAACTTGCTCCCATCCGGCAGCTCTCCATCCAGATCACTGATATTATTCGCATTGATAAACAGCGATTGCAGCTGACCGAGATCATGCAGGGAACCATTGAGTGACTCTATTCGATTCCTACCCAAATGCAGGATAAGCAGACTCAAGGGGAAGGAACCACGATCCAAACGCGTTATATTATTGCTCGGCAGGATTAGGTTCGTCACCAGCTGGATGCCACGAAAGTCCTCCTGCTGCACCGCCCGTATTTTACAGCGCCCAATGTCCAGCGTGAGCAGGCTCGGCATGTGGCTCAGGGCGTGCTTCGGGATCTCGTCGAGTTCGTTGTCGCCAATGCTTAGGTAGGTGACATTCGATAACCCACGGAACGGCAGCTCGGGCAGCGATCTATAAATAGGTCCAAAAACAAAACAAATCCATTACAATTTCATATTATTATTAGCCGGAAAGCAAGAAAATTGGATGGGGATTCTTCTCATCTTAAGCCGTATTATTATATACTACATACATAATACGCTGTGATGAAAACAATTTATGAGTTATATTTAATAGGTAATTTAATTATAAAAATAATTTCATAATAATGTTTCAAATTTAAAATATTAAATGTGATTTCTGGGAATTCGTTTTCACAGAATTAATTATATTTGTCATGATTTTTGGAAAAGATGTTAAATTAGATAAGTTTAAATTTAGAAACTAAACTAAATTTGTTGCTGATCAAAAGCAGACCTAGAAACTTCAAGGAAACCATAAACAATTTAAGTGTTGGATTCTGGTTAGTTAGTAAATATATTTATTAAATAGAACAATCATATTCTCCTTAAGAAACAATGTATGAATGAAGCCTTATCACATTCCTCAACATACATATCTCCGGTCTTGATCTACACCATATAATTTCCTTAGAGGATAGATTAAGACTTCTGATGACATTTTCTTTTGTTGCACAATACTATTAGCTCTAAATAATGTAGGTTATTTAGGAATTAATTTTTTAAAATGGGTTTGTTTCTACCCTTCAAATAATCTTATCTATGCAAACCCTTGACTAGAAGTTTTCAGAACTCATTAAATATATATTTAGGCACTTATCATTGAGATACTTACATCGAGATGCTAGCAATGCCAATAAATATCTGATTCACTTTGTTGACAATGAATCAGCCAAATTGGTAATTGATTTTGAATGAATCAGATCGTGTTTCGCATCCCTGGTCTATCTTTGGACCTGATGATGACGCAGCCTTATCAGGGGGCGCTTCACCCCGCCTCCACTGACCAATCCCGCCCAGCTTCCACCTGCACACACACACACGCACACACACACACCCGTACTGTATCTTTATCGACGTCTGCAGGTGGCTATTAAGTTGTCGCCGTCGAGGCGCCAAACGGCCGATGGAACAGCAGATTCATGATGGGAACTGGGCTGGATGTGGATGTGGATGTGGATATGATGCGGATGGCGTGCCAAGTGCCAAGAGTGGAGTGGACATCCTTGGCGCCCGTTATTGGCATGCGAGCATGTTATATGAGAGGAGCCACTAACGCAGCACTTTGATTGGCAGTCGCTATTTTTAGATCCAGCTTCCAGCCTCTCCAGCCAGACGATCGTGATTGATTGCTCCGGCTCCGAGCAGGAGGAGAACCAGGAGGAGAATCTGCGAGCTGCGCTTGTCAGCCGTTGATTATGTAATGAGAAACGCTGGGCAGGAGCAAGAGATAACTTGTACTGTATCCATAATGAGCACATATGTATCTCAGGGATAGCTGGGATGACTGCAATGGCTGGAGCTGGAGCTGGAGCTGGAGCTGAAGCTGGAGCGGACTTGGACATGTGTATCAGAGATGTATCTACAATTCCTTAACGTCAGCGGTATAATTGTCACACGACCTAAACTGGCCCCTTGATCATTGATTGAGCGTAATAATAAAATTCAATTGGACTGCCTGCTTCACTGCTCTTGACTGACCCCGGAGCAAAGACCACGGAACTTGGAGAGAACGGAGAGTCGAGGCAACCCATTCGAAATTGAAAACAAAAACATGTTCGAAACATTCCATTTATAATTTATAATATTTTTTTGGGGCTATTGACGCCGAAACTGATGACTCTTTTTTGCAGAACTCTTGTTATTGTTTACTTTGGTTCCTGGGAATCAGTTTTTGGAACCGTCTATCGAAGCCACTATCACGTTTTGGGCCCAGACAGATCGGCTGGGAATATTCCATAGCAATTCACTCAGAACGCGTCTCAATAAATTATGTGTGCTTATAGTAGTTATCATAATTAATGAAGGAAGCCGTCAACACTTTTCGCACTTTTTCAGGGCTGCGACTGCACTCTGATAAGAGTAGTAACAGCCTCAAACAAATCTCTTCGAGTGACTGAACATATAATGACCATCATCATACACACACACTCCTTATCGCCTGAGAAAGCACAAGACCAGAAAAGGCCACGATGTGCGATGTGCCTTGTCCCCGAACCTTGTATTATGCTCCCTACATGGCAATCATATTCCCCTCAACCCCATAGGTCCTGTGCCTCAGAGTTCATCTGCCCATGGTGTCCATCCATTCAATAGTTGCCATTGCCCACACTTCACTCGAATGGTTGCTGATTATGGCTATGGTCGATCGTAAAATGTGATCATAAACTTGAGTTGATTGTTTTGGCGCCAGTCATAAAACAGATTCGTAAAGTAATCAAAAAAAGAAACAGTAGCGCTTATCGGAGAATGCCTCCGCCAGCTGTGGTCCACATTTTTTGGGCTCACTAAAACATAGATGGAAGATCTGTACTTGGACTAAATTCAGGGACCCTAGAGCAGGGATAACCAAGGAAAAGTGGTTGTTACCAGAGAAGAAAGATCTTGCAATTGATTTGATCATATTTAATGTTGTTAAAGGATAAAGTCTAAATAGAGCTTAAGTTTCTTCCAAGATGTTATAAAGAATCGATTATGTGACAACTAAACTGATTAGACCCTACAAGATCAGGGGTTCTCCATACCAAAATCCCAGACATTTGGAAATTCCACGCGCCGCATCGATGAGCATATCAGTAAGTACGTATTGAGTACCGAGCAAAATCGAGTACGGGGAAGTCATGATCATCATGTCGCCATAGAGATACGCACATACAAACGTATGTGTGCGGTATTTTTCCTGGCTGGGTTGGCATGATTTGGTCAAAGCGCGATATTAAGGCAATAGGTCAATTGTTATAAATTGACATCAATGTAAAGAAAGAAAAAAAAAGCGAGTTCCCCCTGAGCAGGAGCACTGGAGGCACGCGCTCTCTTCGCTCCGAGCTGGTGCACAATACTGTGATTCGATCAAGTCAAGTAATTAAATCATTCGCCTTACACACACAGAGGCGACGAACGCAAATTGCATTTGATGATAAATCGAAACTATAATCTGATTATCGGGAAAATAAACACAAATACCCTATGATTGTGACAGGAGATGTATTTATATTTCCAAGAATTACAAATTGATTTTTAGAATGTTATTTAGCATGAAACTATAGCATTTGAGGAAATGAGTATTAAATATAAAGAAGTTTGCATTCCATCTGATTATCAGGAAAATAAACTACAAATAGCCCAGTTTCTGACACGCGGTGTATTACCGTTTCCAATAATTACAAATTGGTTTTAGAAAGTAATCAAACTATAACATTTCAGGAAATTGAGTAATAATGTATAATATAATATCAATAATTGATATTAAGAAACTAATATCCATTAAGAAAATGTAAGACTTTCTTTCTTGTTATAATAAATCATAACAATCGGTTATTTGAAGACATTTTTTATAAATTTCTTTACAACTTTGAAAAACACCCGCTCAGTTCATAAAATCCCTTCAAGATTCGAAACAAGCACTCGTATCTGTATGGAAAATATATATGTTTTTTCGGGGCTCGATCTTTTTCGAATAAATCGCGTGGGGCACAAAGACTTGTCTTAACTTGAGTCACGATCGCATTTTGTTTTGATCGGAGAGAATCGATGCCTCCTCCACAGCGAAGTCAAATATCAATGAACCCGCGGCAGGCGCTTATGAAATAGGCTCGAATGTTATTTCTATATTCGCAAAGTGCGGCAGATTGTCGGCATTTATTTATAATTGCCAATATATAAATCACAAAAGCGACACAGGGCGACAGTGAATTGAAATTCATTGAGAGTCAGAGTCGGGAAAACGTGCAGGCGCCGCCGCGTTGAAAAGCGCTTTCAATAAACTGCAATTATCAATTTTGTGTACGCATTAAGTGAGTGCCGATGTCGTCGATGCTTGTACATTTGAATATATAGATTTGAGTACATAGAGGATTTCACATATACCCAGAGCGGTATTGATAAGCCGCAGCTATTATCAATTATCAATTGAATACAAAACAAAAAAGGTACTCGCCGGAGAGATGCTGCTTAGTTCGGTGATAGGATCCAATCGGATCCGATCTTGTACACAACAGCGTCTTGTCTTAGTAAGGCCCCCTCGCAATTTGCAGCAATTCAATGCTACTTCCTAATTGAAAAATTAAATCATCTGGGCGGTAATTAAGATTCGCCTCCTCCAGCTCCTTGCCAGCGCCCAATTTGCCCAATTGAGGGATAGCCATAGATAATGAGAGTCCGGCGGACTCTTTTTTTACGTAAACAAGTGACATTGTTATTGTTTTAGTATCTACTGGGCGGGAGGCTGTAAACAAGCCTCAAGATCTGATCGATCTGAGACATTTTCGTGCATTTACATAAACCGTATTGAAATTTGTGTACGATTTGCATTATTATTTATTTTGCTCTCCGCTTTTTTTTTGATTGGGTTTAAGGAACCTAAATTGATAGCCCGGACGAGCGGAAAATTCTGTTTCAACTGGCCTTGAACTCCCCCCATAGACAAGAAAATTTTATGATTGAATCTACGGGGGAAAAGTCCCCGGCAACAATTGATTTTCCTTGTGAATTATAGTGTTTATTGGGTTTTACCAATTTCAAATTCAATTGAAATTGGTTTCTTGGAGAAAGTTCTATGACAAGAAAGAGAATTACTTTTGAAATACATAATGTTCTAGAAACCTTATAAAACAGTGTGACATTAATATTTACAGTATTTACTTCTTGTAAAAACAATTTAATCAATCAAAGCTCAAATAAATGGTATCTTACTTAGCCACTTATATCTCTCTCATATACAATATTAAGCTCCAAACTCAAATAATAGAATTTAATCGCTCTAAACATTACATTTTTAATGTGCTTTCTTTAGGAACAAATAAAATATATCCAAACATTTTTATAGCACCTAATGTTATCATTTATAATGATCATCACTACCTAGTCCATTCCATTGCATCCTTAGCTTGTACAAATTAAAGTTCATATCCGTAAACGATCGCATTTCCATGTCATCCAGCTGTGAATGGTGATCTTTAGGTCAATTTTCGTATCCGGGTTGAGCTTATTGGCCAGGCTGTCCACCACGGCATTAAAGGATTCCACTTTTTCGCAATTGAGCTCCACATGATTCCAGGCCTTGCCCGTCTCGCAGGTGCAGGAGAGATCTCCGGACGCACCGAGCACTGGAGCGAGGCCAAATGGAAGACGGTGTACACGAGGGACGTCATTTTGGCGACCACTCAAGCACTTAAACTCGATTTTCGATTTTCGATTTCACAATTCTTTGGCACGACAAAAATATATAATATATGTTATAGATATGTTTTCGGTATTTCGGAGATTTTTTTTTGGGTTCACTGTTTTTTCCCGGACGATGCCAGGACGCGTTGCTTGCGCTCGGACGACGGATTAGTAACTGTTCGAGCAGGCAGCTCGGAAAACTCTCGGGGAAATTACACACTAGACGACGCACATATGTGTGCGTGCGGGGGTTTCCATTGCAGTTTGGTTTTCCAGCAGGATTGCGTTTTCGTTTATGTTTTCGTTTTCAATACCGTGGATTCCCTGAACCGCCGCTGGCATCGGATTTCAAAAGCGGCACTGTCACAGTCACAGTCACAGTTCCAGCTCTCTTGGTTGAAACCAAAAAACACACAAAACACACACAGCACTTTGGGATCAACTTGGTTGGTTGGTTTGGATCTAATCGCCTGGGAGCTGGAGCTGCTCCTCCTCCGCTTCTAGTGCACTCACTCAACCCCGGCTACCCGGCAGCCAACAGATCTCCCTCGGATCTCCCTCGGATCTCCCTTTCTATCTGGCTAGACCTCTTGACCCGCTCGTATATAGATCGCCGATGCTCGGAATTAATCTTCTAAAAAATTGTATTGTACTATATATTGGTTGTGTATTTTGTATTTTTTTTTCGAACGCCGCGAGTATGTGTATGAGTGTGAGTCAAAGTCTCGGTTCCGATCGATTCAATCGCTTTTAGACCCGGTGATCACGTCTTGATTCCAGCACGGTCCGTTTGTGACTGGGAGTGGGAATAAAAACGCTGAGGATCCGTATGCCGATGATGATGCTGCCTCTGCTGCTGCTGCTTCGGATGCTGCTGCTACTGGTGATGCTTCTGCTCTCTCTTGGATCTCTTGGCTCTCCGGGGAGAAGATTGAGCGGCTTTTTGGCCAATTGGCGATCTGAGATCTAGGCAAACGGGGCGCTGCGTGCCGGGGACTCGTGTAATTGTCCACAACACTCAATTACATGTGTTCCTGTTCTTTCGGCGCCAGCCATCAATCTCCCAGCCACATCTTCAACTCAATCTCGATCTCAATCCCGATGTGCGTGTTTTTTTTTTTTTTGTTTGTGCCCCCTTCGAGTGGCTGCCTACTGCAACTCTGGGATCTTCTTCTTGAGTACCTAGTTCTATGTATGGGGCATCATAATCATTGTTGTGGACACATGTTGTTGGTGCGTCAGTGCTGGCAGTCACCAGTGCCTTAAAAAACGGATGGAAAATGTTGTAAACTGAATTATTTTGGGTAATTTTGAGTTTAGCTGTGAATTATATTATAGTAAAAGATGTAGATTTAAAAACAACATGCTGCATTTGTCTATTTAAAGGAAAAATTCTGAAATATAATAATTTTGGAAGAAAGATATATTATACTTAATTATTTTGTAATTTTCAAAATGATTTTATATATAAAGTGTTGAGATTCTTACAAACTACTAGTATATTTAGTTATTTCCAACAGAATATTTGTTAAATATTGTTTAAAAATCAAAACTGAATTTGATTACTGGAAACCGATATATTCTTACAGTTAGCAATTAAATTATAGGATTAAATCGGTAATCGATCACAACTAAGCTTTAAATATTCGTATTCTTTCGATCGATATTTATCAATATTTAAATATGAAATTTTTTTTCTAAAAATCAAATTTAAAAATGTAGCTAAGCCAAAAAAGCTTTAATTTCAGTTCGAAAATTGTTCCTATGTTATTTTTTAAAAGGTTTTATTTACAATTAAAACAAATTAAAATTTTTATCAAATTCTGAACATTTTAACCCCTTATAAAATTTCGAAAATTTATATTTCTTCCAAAACTCTAAATCGACTCTGCTATTGACGCGGATCATAAATATATATGATTCATAGGGTTGGAAATGACTCCTTCACAGAGTTACAAGCTTCTGACTAAAATTAAATACCCTGAAAAGGGTATTAAAAAGGACAAAATGTCTGCACTTCTGTTACTTACATATGTGCATCTTGGTGTTTAACACACTCTTAATTAATTGTCCTTTGTATATACACACACACCCCGACATCTGGCACTCGCTGAGAAATGTTTTTAATTATGACATTTCGTTCCGTTTCGGATCGTATCGGATCGTATGGGATCTTGGGGTGGTGTGCCTGGTTAGCAGCGATTGAATGGAACCGGCTTGTTAAGGATCTGCTGCTGCAGCAGCCCAATTGAGATTGGGCCAAACATTTCAGCATGGCAGATGAAAATTTTCCACTGGCGCCAGCTGCAGGAGGGGAGCATCGGTAGGAGGAGCAGCATCAGGAGGAGGAGGAGGTGGCAGAGCCATGCATCAAAGTCCGCTGCCTTAATTTATTTCGAAGTTCTGGGCCCCGCGCATGCATAATGAGCCACTCGGCGCCTTAAATGCACTCGCCGCGAATTCCGCACATTCCCTGGATTGCGCGTGCCAACGATGTCGATGTCGATGTCGCTGTCGCTGTCTATGTCTCCTCGCCGATCTGGCCGCAATTAATCATCGGGATCATCAGACGGGGAGCTGTGAGCAGGCGAGTGAGTGAGTGGCTTCTGTGGACCATCCAACTTGCTGGCACGCACCATCCGCGTCTGCATCCAATACCACATCATCGAGATGGGTTTCCATACATTTTCCAGGCTGCAGACTGCCAGCTACCAAGAAGCCTTGGCACGATTATGTTTAGGGTCGTCTGGAAAGATTAACTTAATTACATACAGTAGGGCTCATAATTGTATAATAATATAAAGAATATTATTGATATTCCTTCTTACATTTCTCCTTTACGATATGTTACATTAATGCTGATTATTAAATGCAATAATAGCAATTAAAAGTTATTGAAAACAGACGCTTAATCCTACAGGATCCTAGAATCACTTGATTTCTCTGATTATTTGGCATATAAAATATTGCAAAATTAAATAAAAGAAGGTTTATACAATGCATAATGTAGCTCAGAAGGTTCTTTAAACTATATAAGAAAATAATTAGAATTAAAATCATACAAGTATAAAATTTTAAAACCATTTCAATCCTTTAAAATAAAAGATCTTTCCTTGTTTCCCAAAAGATCCAATGTAATGTCTCGGTTGTTTTTGAAACGCACTGTTTCCCATAACTGTGGGTATTAAAAATATACATCGATTACGTAGACAGTCTATTTATAGGATCCAATCATTCACAGTAAATATTTAAAGAAAAGCGTCAAGTATTAATAATTATTATTATTTATTCATACATGTTTTCATCTCTCTTTTTTTCGTTTTTCGTTATTTGCGGTTATTATTTGTTTTGTGTTTTTTTGCACATAAATATTCTCAACATTTTTATGTGACACATTTTCGTGTTTCGATTGCAGGCGACAACAATAATAACAAGAGTAGCGTAGGCTCGCAGAGGAATTCGCTGTCGATGGTGATGGTAGGATATGTGGGCTGGTCAAATGGTTGGAAAACACGCCTCCTCAAATCAATATCGCTGTAATGACCAAGAAGCGTCCACTTGAACTGTTCTGCTCTGTTCTCCACATTCCGGTATCGATCGTCATGGGCCATTCAGCAATCATGTGCCATCGGCTCACGTCAATGCCGGCGGCGCCATTCAAAATATTTGGCTGGAATATTCGGAATTCGGCTGTCGTCACGGGTCTATTCAGTTCTCTGCTCTCACTACCACGTCACGCGCCGTGGGGACGCCACAGCCATTTGGGACAATTGAAAGCATTCCACGCGGTGTGTGGTCCCCATTCAGTCCAATCCATTCCAACAATCCACTAGCCATTCGATTTTGGTTAATAAGTGTGTTTATTTTGCTCCTGACTGGGTTCCCGTTCGTCGTTTCCCATTGTGTTGTGTGAAGAATACATATATGTATATCAGTTTGGATATTATTATTCTATATAGGTCGAAGCATTTGCTAAAGGTCCTCTCCGTGTGTGGGTGTTGTCGCCGTAATCGTCGTCTCCTCGTTTTAAACAGAACTTATCCATTAAACTAAATTAAATACGATGCGTTAAAGTAAAATGTACAACAAGCACTAGGTGGCCAGGTTTATCCACTGCCCTACGACGCCCTATTTCTGCTCGGCGAACTTGGCTATCTGCGGATACTTGTTGGGCTTATAGTCGGCATCCTGTTTGATTCTCTCACGGACAATGCTTCGCACTGCGTCCGTGTAAGAGGCCTGAATGCCGGTGTCATGCGCAATGGAACCGATCACGGTATCCGCACTGATCGAGGAACTGGGGGCACTGCCATTAACACCACCCAGGCCAGAGTTCTGAATGGCCCGCTGCACACCGCTGGCGATGAGGCACTCCACACTGGGCGTCGGCTTCTCCGACTGTATAATCTTGCGGCGCTTGGCAGACATTCCGGAGATGTAGGCATCAGAGTAGGGTGGCTGCGGGCGGTTGCTTTGCTGCAGGAATGTCAGGCATTTAAATGGGTTTCAACTAAAAAGGGACACTCAGGAGAACTTACCTCAGTCTGGGTCTGCAGGTCGCGGGTTATCACTGGCAACCAGTCGTTGGGGAAACTCATGTGCCACGGCTCAGAGCCCACAATCACAGCGGGCAAAGTGTCTGCGGGAGCACTGCTACTACTGCTAGCAGCCACTTCGGCCATTTCCACATCTGTGTCCAGAGCTTCCAGCTGCGGTGGTTGCGGTTGCTGCTGTGGATTAAACGCCAAATGCGGTGGCGCCACAAAAGGCTACATTTAGTAATGCCTGAAGTCCAGGAAAGGGATTATGTCTGCTTACCTCAGCGGCATCAGTGGGAGAGACTGCTTGGGTGCTGCGCAGGACAAGGAACTGTTGGGCATCTACGGTGTCCGTCTGGGCGGGAATTGTGGGATCTATATAGATGCACAAGAACTGCAGCGCTTCGTTGCGGAAATCTGCAAGAGAGGCAAGTGAGTCCAGGATTCTAGCTATGTTTTATTTGGAAACTTACTAGATCGAAGGGGAGCGCACAGCAGGCGCATCAGTTGACGCCAATAGAGCTCCGCATTGGCGCTGCCCAGGCACAGAAAGAGCACGCTGTAGAGACGCTTGCGGAACTGGTCACAGATCTCCTTGAGGCTCTGCTCGAACTGAGCACTCGATCCCGTCGAAGCACCTCCAGGCGCGCTGCTGCACAGCTCGAAGATCAGGCGCAGACTGACGCGCAGGATGTTGCACACCGAGTCCCTGGAGTTGTACTCCGGCCGTTCGTACTGCGGCAAATAGACCAGGCTCTCGCCGAACCATTCCAAGGCCCGTCCGATTGCGTCGGGGATCGTCTGGTCGTTGATGGGCACTCCGCCGGCGAACAGGCTGTCGTTGAGGAAGTTGCGCAGCTGCGAGCGCAGGTTGCTTGCATCAACGCTTGGCATGGTCGGAATCGCCTGCGATGATGGAGCAGCGACGGTTGGGGTGACTGTTGCAGATGCCACTGATGCTGGTGCTGCTGCGGCGGCTGTTGCTGCTGCTGCTGTGGCCGAGATGGCTGCCACTCCCTCGGCGGTGGTGACGGCGGCGCTGCCTGCCGGAGCTGATTGCGCATTATTTCTCAGATTATTAAGCAAAAAATTAGCGAGTTGGGTGGGGAATTGTCTGGACAGGCGGCCGGTGGCGGTCTGGATGCGCCCCCGACGGACGGCTCCTAGGCCGCCGTTGGTGTTGTTGGTGCCACCACCAACGAGGACCGGTCGAGCCGTCACAAGCCGATCGCGATTAATGGGCACTCTTCCCATGACACGCACTCTTGCGGCTCCACCCCTAAGAGTGGGGATGCCAACACCAACACCAACACCACCACCACTACCACTACCAACGTGGGCGGCCTGGCTATGGGTCTGGGTCTGGGCCTGCGCCCAGGCTGCCGGCCGGAGGCTGTTCAGTTGATTGCTTGCGGGACGCTGGCGGCGTGACGACCACGTGGAGCGTACGTTGGCACTGCCGCGTTGGATGCGATCAGAGGTGACTAGATGATGACATGGATAGAATGGAGATTAATTTCAAAGATGGATGCCGGTCGACAGTCGAATCGCTTAGGGAGTGGGTTCTGCTAAAAAGAGCTACTCCTTTCAGAGGAACTCGAAATAAGGAAGGTCTACCGAGAGGATAAAGTCTGAGATACATACGGACAATAATATCTCATCTCAAATATATCGATAAAAGTCTCTTTTTTAAAGTTTAAATATCAAAAGTTTTCAAGAATATTTCCTCTCTAATTTCGAAACCTAATGTCAAATTATTTAACTGAATTCTTTATTCCCGATTAAACCATCAAAGCGTATTATTTCAGAATAGAATACTTTAGGAAACATGTTAGTGGAGTCAGGTCACATCCTGGGATTCGACTGGCATTCAATTTTGACCGGAGCTTTCCATCTCTGTGTTTAATGAGTCTGTGTGCTGATGATGAAGGGGCGTGCGATGGGGGCGTGGCCAGGGACATGGACATGATGTAGCATTGCATAGGCAACATTTGTACTCACCAGGACGAGGTCCTGCGGCGGTTGTGGGCGAGACGATAGCGGCTCCGCTTGCTGGTGCTGTAGTAGTGCTGCGGTTGTTGTTGCCGGTCGCATTGGTATTATGATGCAGTTGCTCTGGCTCCCTGATGTGATGACTGTTGCAAGGCAGGAAGCGATCAAAGGCTGTGTGCGTGGGCGCAATGCGTCCACCCCAGTTGTTGTTGCCTCCGATCTGAATCTGAGGACGCGATGTCGAGCGAGTCTGGGTCGAAGTGGTGGGCAAAGTGTTGGCCCTCTGTTCTCCGCTTCGATTTCCATTCGAAGTGGAAGCAGCTGTCGGGGACTCGCCATTGCTAGCAGCCGGAGAACTTTCATTGGAGGCTTCCGCGGCCGGAGCAGAAGCTCCAGCTGCAGCAGCAGCTGGGGCTGAACCAGCGGGAGCCGGACGCACTGCGGCAGTCATCACATGAACGGGCAAGTTGATCGACATGATGTTGGGCGAATTGAACTCGGCATGAACTTCGTTTGCCTCGTTGTTAGCCACGTTGATCATGGTCTGAAGAAGTCGTACCATCTCCATCTGGGGATCTGCAAGACAATCAAAGGAAGTTAGAAACTCATCTCGAAAACAATCTTAAGCAGGGATTAATCTGGTTAGGGGCTGGTCTCTAAAAAAACGAACAACAGATTAAGTGGAACCAAAACAAGGGATGCAGTGAACATGAGCTTGTAACGCGGGGTTAGTCCAACGTGACTGGCATGAGAGCGGGCTTCAAAATGAACAACCAAAACGTACTGGGCGGTGGCAGGGTCACTGGCACATAGACACGTAGCCTGGGAGCTGCCCTGGGGGTCTCTTGGACAGTTGTCTGATCTTGGACAGTTGTCTGATCTTGATCTTCGTGATCGTGCTCTAGAAAATCATTAAGAAATACAATGGGTGATACAGAGAGTTTCATTGCTTTGAGTTAATTTTGTTAAAAGGAAATTATTCCGTTCTCTCATATGAAACGCACTGTATCAAGACTGGTAAAGGGGTTCAAGTATTGAAGAACCATCTTACCCATTTCCACGCGTGACTGCTGTTGAGCCTGAGTACCGGCGCCGCTCGTAGCATTGGGCGCCACCATGGGCTCATCGACAGGATCCGCCACGCGGTCGCTTTCCGAACCAAAAGCGGCTGCAACTGCTGCATTGGCAGCATTAGCCGCAGCTACGTTCGCAGCTCCGGCTGCATTGGCAGCTTGAACAGCCAACTCGGCAGCGGCTCCAGCAGCTCGATTGGCAACCTCGACCATGGCCGCCGCAGCTTGGGCTGCTTGCACATTTGAGGCAGGCTCTGAGGCAGCGGCAGCAGCTGGTGCAGGAGCAGCAGTCGGAGTGGGTGCCGCTGTGGCGGGAGTTTGAGTTCCAGGTGCAGCGGCACCATGTTCTCCAGAGCGGAATCCCATCTCGTTGAGCAGACCCGGCGGAGGAGCCAAAAAGTTGGGCGTAAATATATTATTCGAGCGTATATAGCCGCTCTGTTCAACGAGAATCGGTCGGCAGGTGAGCACTCGCGGTCCTGGCTGCGATAGATCAAGCATTAAATCGGAGATGGCATGCTGGGCATGCGAAAGGTAGTGGAAAGCCTCAGAGACTCGGTCAAAGATGCGTTGGGCATCCTCACGTCCAGCAGTGTCCTGGGGAGAACAAATATATATAGGTTATAGCGTAGGGATCTTTATATGCACTTAAGCCTGGTTACTCACACTCTCCTCGAAGGTTGGATCGTTCTGTAGGATGTCGTAGTAGCGATCCACGAAGGGCGCCAGTCGTGTTTGAACACGGCGATAATGCAGAATCACCTGGGCCAAGACTTGGGGCCGGGTGCGGCGTCTTGGGCCCGTATTATTGGCTCCCTCGACACCAGCTTGATCAGTCGCTGCCTCGCCAGCAGTGGCGGAGGTGCTGGGTGCCGCAGAAGTGGCAGCAGCAGCAGCAGCAGCTGCAGTCGCATTCGCATTCGCAGCCGATTGACCACCAACTGCTCCCTCAACCTCCGGGTCCGGAGTAGGCGTTGCCGAACGATCAGAGGCCCCATCGGCGGCCTCATCGTCCGTTTCAATCACATCCTCAATGATGACAGTGGCCGCTGCAGTCTCACCGCTGGCATCGCTAGGTGTTCCTGCCGCAGCACCCTCGCTGCCGGCAGCCTCTACTGCACGCTGCTGACTGGTCTCGCCGCTTTCGTTGGTGTAAACCGTGGGTAGCTGCACCACCGTGTAGTTACGGGCTCCAGTACGTGACAGAGCAGCGGTCACAGCGTCCTGGACCATATCGATAATGTTGTTGTTGCGTGGCAGATCAGTGGAAGAGACGCCTACCTCAACGACTGTTGACTCCATGGACCAGCGACCGCGTTGCAGGATGTCCAAAGACTGGTTATTCAATCCCACTGCAGGATTTCCAAATAGGCGGCTATGTTGCCGGCGCAATCGATCATGTGCATGGCCACAGTGATGCGATTGATGCAAAAGGACGAGGAGTTGGGATAGCGAGTGGGCGGAGTGCGGGTCTGCAGGGATTAAATATGTTTAAAGTAAATTCTATACGGGAATGTGTTGTGAGTGCGTACCCCGGCCACAGGGCCATTGTTCACTGGTATGGCCATGGTGCCCACCAGCATGCCATCAAGGGCACGGAAATAGGGGGATGTGCGCATTCCTGGCGGCGGACGTGCCACATTACGGAAGGTGCGCATCGGTTCATCATTGTTCCGGGCATTGGTTCCGCGCTGCGAGAAAGGTGGACGCTCTGCCACGTGCAGCACCTTGCCGTCGACATCTGGAGATGCAGAAAAGGTGTGAAAGTTCATTGTTTTTTAGTGTGTGTGCAATCAAAGTAGGCCCAGGAGGATGACTCACCATATTCCTTCACCTGCTTCTCATCGACAAGCACACGTCCTTGGTAGATGATGCGCTGGTTCTCCGCCGCTATGTTGGTCTTCTCCGCTATTTGGTCCTTGAACTGACGGATTGTGATCTGGAGAGGGGCATAGATATATGTACATATATGCATATGTAGAAGCCTCTAGATCTCTGGCCACAACCTCAAAAAATATAAGAAACTTACCTCATTGTCGATGCTGAATTCATGGGTGCGAGCATCTAAGGTCTTCACCTTAAGATTTATTTGCATTTTCGCTGCCTTTCGCTGTCCGCTGGAAAGTCTCTTGAATTCTCACTTTTTCGCTGGGAAATCTGTCGTTCGCTTGGCCAGGGGGAAGGGGGGAGCTGAGGGTGTCGGTGTCGCTGTCACCGTCTCTGTCTCTTTCTCGCTTGCACTCACTGGGGCTCGTCCGCCTTTTGGCTTTTCCGGACACGTTTTCACGCAAGCTCAGGCGGTGCTACTTGATCTTCTTTCGCCGCGAATAATGCTTGCTTATCGGCTCAAAAGTTGGTATGTAGAGCGGATATTTGTGAAAATCGTAACGATTTTTACGTTGACAACAGCGGCAGAATATTTCACTGGAATTTACGAGGTGTGACCGTACCGGAAAACTTTGTTAGATCCGCGCCAGTGTGGCCAGATCTATGCTCGGTGTATATAGCACATTAAAAGAGGGGTCACACTGGTAAATTGCAAAAACATCAATACAACGATGTAAGAACTAATGCATCTTCATCTTTATGCTTCTCTTAAATGCGTTTCGTTGCTTCCCGTTTCGTTTTTCATAAGAATATATCTGTTGGCGCTAAAAAGAGTTTCTCTTTCTATAATGTGTACACACTGGTTTTATCCTGGACAAAAACCAAGAAACAGGAATAAGTGTTGGAAAGCATGTAGTCCTTGGCGGGCTATTTGAATTTTGAAATATAAATAACATTTTTAGTAACCATTTCATATAAATGCTCTTTTGCCTACCTTGAATTAACTAAAAGGTGGAATATCCTTGGGGAATATCCTCGATTCACCCCACAAAACCCAAGATGAGCTGGATAAAAACGTTTAAAGAACTGCACATGTGTGTAACAAACCTTTCTAACTTTATCTAACCCACCCCAGTCGAGGACTAACCCCCCTCACCTGCTGCCTTTGACTGCATCCTGTGGGAATTTTTTCGGCACTGCACATGAAAAGCGGCGTTTGAATAATAAAGAAAAGTAAAGAAAACACTGCCATGGCAAGGGGGAAAGTCAGCCAAGACGCCAAGGTGGGTGTATAGGGCTACCAACTTTTCGCTTTGAATATTTAAGTGGCGAAGCCGTGGCATCGAAATAACCAGAAGGCCGGAGGAACGCCAACCGCAGCTAACACAATTTTTCGCATACCCCCTTTGCCGGGGGAGTCTTGCCTTGAATTGTGCGGAAATTTGATTTAATGTCTGCGATTGTGAGCCTTTCCAAGGAGCTCAAAAGTGATTGCGACGAGCCCTTATTTTCCGCAATGAAAAGATGGGTCGGAAACGGCCATTCGCAGCTTGTTGAGTATGATATGGAAATTTGAGAGGGGATTCTTTTTAAAGGGTTTTAGTGCTATCAATGTCAGGATCATTGCCTATTTTTTGGGGGAAATTTTCAGAACAATTAGCTCCAGTTTTTGTTTATATTTAAAAAAGGATTATAAACTCGTTTTTTTATTAATTATTATAGATTTAGTAGAAGGAAAGTAACTACTTTGACATAATAACCTTTATTTCGTAAGAAAGTATCCCTTATTTTATAAAATTTAGTTCCTGTTAAATTGGATAATTTCTTGCTTTTATTTTTATTTGTTAAATATTTGACAATTAAAACAGGTGCTTAAAACTGTAAGGAATTAATTTAAAATTTCCCTAGAATAAAATATGGGTTAGGCTTGGGTTCGGGAAATATAAATAATAATTATAATTACCTTTATTTCGTAAGAAAGTATTCCTTATTTTATAACATTTAGTTTCTGTTAAATTGGATAATTTCTAGGTTTAATTTTTAATTAAGACAAGTAGTGAAAATTGTTAGGAATTTGTTACAAATTAAATAAGTCTCCTAATCCATCGTAATCTCTTAATTAATCAGAAACACAAAGAAATATCAAATAATTATGTATATTTACTTGTAGCTTAATTTCCCTAGAATAAAATATGGGTTAGGCTTGGGTTCGGGAAATATAAATAATAATTATAACATTTTTACACAGACTCCGCGTGGGCCAAGTGCAAGTTTCACAATTTACAAATTGCTTTTAAATGGGCTGTGAAAAAGTTTTAATGAGTTTTCCACGCAGCAGCCCTATATCTAAGCACTGGGCCAAGCCACCCCCCCCCCCCCCCCCCCCCCCCCCTTGTCAACGATTTCTGTTTATGCATTTTCATTTTCATTATCATTTTTACTTTGTGTTCTTTTTATATATACTGTTTTTTTGGACTGCCCTCTCGTTTTCCGCTTTCCATTTGTTATTAAGCGAGTATTTTCCGTTACTTTTCATTTCTTTTCTCGCCATTTTTGTTGCTGCGAAAGTTTTTCTCTGGAAAGTGTCACAGTGGGCGGTGGGCGTTAGTCCGGGGGCGTGGTATTACATTGAAAATACTTTGAGGGGGCGAAATAGGGAGTCGCGTTAATGAAATTATATCAATCGGGTAGATCAACCACCCCCCAAAAAAAAGGTTTTTGTGTTCCTGGCAGCTGGCAAATGACATTTTGCTTTTTTCCAAATTGTTCATATTTTCATTAAGCGGCATTTGAATGTTTCGCTTTCCGGGGAATGTAACCTGCAATTGCTTTTGCTTCGAATGGGATTCCAACCCCGCACTGTGCACGATTCCGTTTCTAATTTCGGTCTGGTCAAGACCAGGGCCCAGGAGCAAGTCTCACGTCAAATTAAATCAAGCTGTAATATAAAGAAAATTGAAGCCAAGTCCCCTTTGTACCATAAAGCACCGAGAGCAAAGGACCTCGGGCATTCAATGGTGAGGAGGTGTGTGTAGGGATGGAGTCCTTGAGGTGGCAGGAGGTGGAGGATTTGGGGGGCCAGTGGATTGAAGTGGGCAGCTGATTGGCAATATAACACCAAGGAACTTTTGGTTTCTTGCGCAGAATTTAACCCGTAAGCTTATGATGTGGTTTCTTGAATTAAGATTTAGGAAATAGGGTTTAGTGAACACTTTTTATATAGTGTAAATTAATTTAAATTTATATTACACTTTTAATAATACAAAAAATCCTACTAAATAATTATACATTTGACGGAGAAATTTCAACTGACATTTTAAACCAGAAATGTACAAAGAAGCAAGAATATATTTGTATTTATTCAAAAATGCATAAATGGTCATATAAATGTTATAAATTATATTATAAATTAAAGCAATACTAGCTTTTGGAAATATTAGGGAAGATATTCCTAGATTATCTTCCCAAAAAACATATTACAAATTTTTAAAAGTGTTTAATAATATGTAATCATATCTTCAAGGTACCATATGCAGTTTTATCGTGTGATTTACCTATATTAAATCTTGTGGCATAGATTTTGACACCTTTTAAAGGTAATATAAACCTTTACTGGCTACTATAGAATCCCTGATAAAATGTTTGTAAGCTCTTTATAGTAACTCCTGATTTCCCGAACCCTTAATTCCCAAAACAAAGTTCCACTTTGTCCCTAAATCTCTCCCAAAACCAGCATCATGATTAAATCATTGCCCTCTGAAATGATTAAATGAACCAATGTACATATAAACATAAAACATAAGAAAAAAACAATACTTTCCATGGCCAGTTGTAATTGCCAGTAAATAATTTCGACCTGGCAAAATGGCAACTGCACTGGCCTCATAAATACAACCGCCAACTAACCGTACCAATTTATAGTCAACACTTAATCTAAGCTGTCAATGTGGATGCAACAGCAGTTAGTAGTGGCAACCTACTACTAGTATCGTAATTGCCAGGGATTACGACACAAAATAAAAAAACGTAAAAGTGCAGAACTGCGGCACGTGAATGCGGAAGTTGTGCTCGGAATTGGCCAAAAGTGAAGAGAAGAAGTCGTAAAGTTTTAGTTGCATTCTGCCGTCTTCGTCTTCGCCCTCGAATTGGACGCTTAATTTATGTTTCAATTCCAATTAGCCAACGAGCCGCGTTCTCTTATGCTACTTTTCTTTCTTTTCGCTGACAAGGGCACTGAGAAAAAATATATCCCTTAAGATGCAGAACTTCTAAAAGATAAATTAAAACTTGCTAATACTATTGAAACATGATATGAGTCTATTTTTAATGATCTTTAAGGCACATAAAAAAACATAACAAGACTTTGAAAAGTAGCATTAGGCCTTTGAGGTTTTTCTTCAACCGAATACGAAAATATTTATTTATTATAATCTCAATTACCTTCAAATTGTCTACATAAAATATTTATAAATTAAATAGTCGTATTTAGTTGCCGTGTACTTTGGTAATTGACTTTCGGCCTGGCCCTGACGCGTCATTTGTAATTGTATATTGGCACGAGGAGAGGAGAGCAAGAGGGCCAAGAGCCACGACGACGACGACGAAGAGCTTAAGCAGCGTTTATTAGCCATGGCCAAATGCAGCTAATTGAAGTTCAAATTGCGTTGGCGCTCACAAGCTGAAGCGGCAGGAAACCGTTGAAATGTAAGCACTCACATGTGAGTCGTCCTGTCGGTTCAATAAAACGCTAACTTGAGTCAGACGACAAAGCAGACGTAAACGAAGACGAATCCACTTAAGGGGCCAAAAAATAAAGTAAAAGCTAAAGTAATGCGAAAGCCAATTCAACACTCAAACACAATCAGCAAAGAAAAGCAGAGCCGAGAGTTTGGGGGAAATAAAATCAAGCATAAATGCAATAATACAATTTATGTGCCAAATTTCATAAGGACCATAATGGACACACACAGACCCAGACTCGTTCTCTGATCCTTAATCCCCACAATAAAGATACGTATCGAGTGGAACCAACAAAGGTGACTTTCTCAACTTTTCGGCTTTTGCAATCGATGTAATCGTAATCACATTCGGCACCAATGTCGTATTTGCCAGGACTTTCACAGGCAACAATGTGCCCAACACTTGCCAACCGGATGTCCGGTCAGTTCAATCCATCCATCTCTTTTTCTGTCCTGTCTCTGTCTCTCGTTTGGCAAGTTAACAACATTTGCTTGACGTTTGCCAATTGCATTATGACTCAATTGCGAGTTGAACGATTTTATGGACGAGCAGCAGAACCAAAGAGAGAGGCATTCGCATCAATGAAGCAAACTTCAGCTTCAACTTCAAGTCCCAGTGTCGGTCCATTGAAAAAGAAACAGAAACGGAAACGGAAATGGGGAACTTAAGGGGAGAAGTTGCCATTCAGGTCGATCAAAGAAGTATCTGTTGGTATCTTGGGTTTGTTTGGGTTACACTCTTAAATAGGTTGTATTTTTTGGTATTTGATACCTTGTAAATTGTCAATATATAATTGAAAAGTTTAAGGTAATATTGTACTATATGATACATATTTTTTAATAATTGTTCTTTTCTCCAACTATATATTATATATTATATACTATATATTTTACGTTATATTTTATTTTAGCCTTAATTGACTCAAATACGAGTTTAATTTGATGTTTATTAGTAAAATTAAATATATCTTGTATCTTGGGGGGAAAGCCTTGAAATAATCTAACTAATGTATTTTTCTTTTCTATTTCTAGTGGCTAATTTTATTTAAAATTATCTAACTTTGGAACCGAATGCAAAATTAACGTTGATTAACCCTTTAAAGGTAATCTTTTCAACATAATTATAATTTGAATTCTTATTATTTAATTGTAAATACACTTTATTATTACAAATGGTTTTATTTAACCTTAAGCATTATATACGCTAATAATCATCCAAATATTTCACTCTATCAACTCCAAAATACACTGCTGACAGTGTTGTTGATGGCTCTTGATGCCTCATTGTCATCGCTGTTGATGCATGAAGATGCATAACGTCCCCCCACACTCACTTGAATACATTTTACAGGGCTGAGAAACACTCGAATCGAAAGGCTTGAGCGGTAGATGGAGCAGCGAATGCATTAACAATTTGGCAGCGGAGTTAATGCATCTCCGATGGGCCATAAATTGCGCTGGCCGTAATATGTTTGGGCCACTTGATGGCACTTCAGCGCTGAACTGAGCCACATCCGTGGAATGTGGAGCAAGTGCAGAGAGCCGGGGTCCAGGTAATAGAGTCAGCACAGGCTACATGGGGTTATGCAATGAATAGGCCCGGGTCTTGGGCACTGTTAAGTGGGTCGAAGACACGCCCTTCTCCAGATCCAATACGATACGATCCGATCCAAACCGACTGTCTGTCACTTGAAGCCGGGCAATTGTAAATTGATTTGCCACGATCGCGGGTTAGAGAAATGGATTTCTGAAAGTCACGCAAAGCTAGCCAAAAAGTCGAAACCAGAAACACGTTTGTGAAGCGGGCGGTTTGATAGTGATTATGAGTAATTGGCATTGCGGTGGTCAGGTCTTCTATATATGGCCCGCCATCTGACTCAGCCAGCACAGTTGCTCCACTTGCTTCACTCAGTACCGACCTCGACATGGCACACTTCCAGATCCTAGGCGTTGCCTCCACTTTGCTGCTCCTGCTGGCCCCCACCTGGGCGGGAATCATTGCTCCGGCTGGCCTTAGCTATGGCTACACTGGCGATGAGCATGCGGTGGCTCACACTCAGGCGAATGTGGTGCGCAGCTTCGATGGCACTGTTTCCCACTATGCCAAGTCAGTGGCCACGCCCTTCTCCCAGGTGCACAAGCAGGACACAAGGATCAGTAACAACGTGTATCAGCCAGCGGTGGCCAAGGCCATTAGCTATGCTCCAGCTCCTGTTCCAGTTTCTATTGGAGCTCCTGCTCATGTATACACCCAGCAGGCACAGCCGGAGCCAGCTCATCTGTTCACTCAGGCTACGTCGGCTTATCACCACCAGGCTGCTCCTGTGCAGACTCCAGTGACTTATCACCAGGCTGCTCCTGTTCAGACTTACCATCAGGCTGCTCCTGTCCAGACTCCAGTGACTTATCACCAGGCTGCTCCTGTTCAGACTTACCATCAGGCAGCTCCTGTCCAGGCTCCAGCGGTTTACCATCAAACTGCCCATGTGGAGAGTCCCTCTGTGTATCATCAACCCGCTCATCTCAGTCATCAGCCCGCTGTCATCCACTATTCCCCGGCGGAGACCGTGTCCCATATGAGCTTTGATGGCTTTGGCACACACTACGGTTTCTAAAGGTTCTTAGTTTTAAGTGTTAACAATGTTTGTATTCAAACAGTGTTTAAATATATAAAAAATGTTTAAAAGGTCAAGTGACGTAAAGATTAGTAAAACTAGTAGATTATGGGTTTAAAATCTTAAATCTATAGATTTATAGGTTGGGAAATGACCCCTTCACAACATTCTAACTAAAATTATAATATCCTGCAAGGATATAAGTAAGGAATTTACAACCCCAAAAGGATACAATTCAAACAAATAACATATCATCCTAGAATACGATTTCTCACATCATCATTAGCCCCATTATGGCGGAAGCATTACCCAGGCTGAAGTACTTACACATAATTCACGTTATCCCATTGCAAATCGTGTCCTTTCTCGAGTACTTTGACCAGAGCCTTCAATCCTTTGGATCCTTGTAATGCCTGCGGTTCACTCGCCGCTTATCACTCACGTTCGCAGGCAGCGTAAACAAATCATAAAAATCCACAGAAAGTGCACACTACAAATAGCCAGAAGCAGGACATTAGCTGTGGTCCTTGCTCCCGTCCGTGATCCCCCAGGATTTTTCTGCAAAAAAAGGAGAAAGGGATGGCGAAGGGGTTACGTGATTTGTGCAGGGCAAACTTAAAAATCGGACATGAGAGCTACGTGACTCGCATGGCAATCCCAAGGAGTCCAAGGAGTCAAGGAGTCCAAGGAGCCAAGGAGCAGGACATTTCCAATGGATGCCGTCGCCATCAACTGGCGTGGCTTATGAGCTAATAAGATTTTCCCCATTCGCATTCCTCGTAAATTATGCACATTGACAACTGCGTTCGAGTGGCGTAATCGGAAAATTGAAATCAAATTTTTGCAGCCTCATTAATTTTGCAAAAGCAAAAAGAAAAATCTCAATTCAATCGGCCGGAGTCAATAATCAATTTGTGTCCGGGACCTTTTTTCTCCCTCTTAGTTCTCGAAATGATAGCTTCATTAGATGGCCATCAGAGTAATGGCCAAAATGATTACCAGAATAGGACCAGTAAACTTTCCTAAAGAACAAACTCCGAAAGAAAATGGTAAAAAAGTGAGCAAGAGAGGCCACAATTTGTAAAATGAAGCCATAAACTCCGCTTAAATGCAAAAGTCTGGAATCCTGGAGGAAGGAGAAATCCTTCCTCCATCTCATCCCTTTCCTTTTTCGGGGAAAACCGCTTCTGTCCGCCACTTGAGCGCTGAAAGGCGCAATGATAAAATATTTTTTCCCAGCCAAGGCAAGTAAATTTGTTGGCTAAAAAGTTGAAACAGCTAACAAAAAGCGAGATAGAGAGAGAGCGAGTGAGGCGAAGAAAGGCCAAGCCGTCAGTTGTTGTTTTTATTTAGCTGTTGTGGCTAAAGTTTACTCCCTGCCCCGGCATCCATCCTGGCAGGACATCGTCCACAGGCAAGTTGGCTAAATAAAAAATGCAAAAATTGCCCAGTAAGACGTATTTATCAACATAATTACATTTTTTTAATGGCCTTTTAAACCGCAAAATGGCAAAGCCACAGAGCCAGATAAAGTCCTAGTGCAGAAATGCAAGAAATGGTGCAAAGTTGTTTAACATTCAACGTTCTTTACTTTTGCTTTGGTCGGGGAAAATATTAACTCAATGTGAGAAGCCTTAAAACAACGTTTATTAAAAGTGAAGATCATACTCTGGATTCAATAATAATTAAATATAATAAATAATTATTAATAAGCAGGAATATTATTAAACAGGTCTTTGTAGGATATTCATAGTTTATCATAATATCAAAATCACAGCATTCTTAGGTCACTGGAAGAACGTACTGAGCATTCTGTATTATATAAATAAGTTAATTTTCTTCAGAAAAATTCTATTTGTAGCTATGTTTTCTCATTAAACAATACCCATTCTTGTCACTTAAGCAAAAGCTATAAAAACTGAGCAATATCGCTGGGAAAAACTCAGTTTAATAATACAAAAATGTGGAGAGATGTGTTCTTGATCCTTGCAGTGGCAACTGTACAAAGTTCCATCCTTCTCACAGTACCTCAGATCAGGGAGTCCTTAATATTGTACAATAGAATATGCCTGTGGTTGACCAATGACTGTGTTGACTCAAATACCGAAAACAATAGGGATAAGAATAAAAACAGTAGCTGGTTCCTTTGGTTGGAGTTTTTGATACACTTCTCATATATCTGTCGTATTTGTTACTAAACTAAACGTGGAAATATATTAGTCGACATTAAATTCCCATGTATATGTATGTATGTACATATATGAAAAAGCATACCCATGCATAATACTCGTAAAATGACATACTATATAAAATAAATTATAATAAATCACGCAAGCAGAGAGGTTTTGAATTAAGAGAAATCGTAGTTCACAGAGAACTCTCGTATTTTGTCTCTTTATAATCGAATGCTTTGATTAAATTTTGAAATAAATATTTCAACGGAACAGCCATTTGATTATAAATATTTGTCGTCGAACATAGACCCAATCATTATCGGTCAGCTTTACCATGGATTTCAATTCTTGGAATTCAGCTGAGTGATTTAACAGAATTCCACTAAGGATACTATAGTATTATTTTTATTTACATTATTTTTGTAATGACTGGTTCCTCATAATTTTATTTTACTTCTGAGAAATAAATTCTAAAGTAAAGGAAACTTATAAAAAATATAACAACTTATAATAATGTTTAAAAATATATAAATATAAATAAACTAATATTTAATTATTTATCTATATAAATGTATTGTGATATGCCTGTGATCTATGCCAATCAATTATACATATGTGTACACTATTAGCTCACAGTCTAATTCTGAATCGCTAATCAAGCGTGTCGAGGGTATCAATCGCTTCTAACCCACGGGAGAAATTCCATCGATATGCGGAATCTCGCCATGTTATATAGAGTCGTCGTTCGGTTGGCTGATGTCAGTGATCTGACAGTTGGCTCTCCGGAGAGATGTGGAAAGCTCTATACGCAATTATCTGGCTCGTGGCGATAGCGGGTCCCCTGGCCGAGGTCGGAGCGAGACACTTCCACAACCACAGCCATGTTCGCCGACGGGTTCCGCCCCAGCTGATGCTGGATCAATACATGAGCTACAAGGATATGATGGAGTACCTGGACCGACTGGCACTGGCGTATAGTGATCGTTTGACGCTGCAGGATGTGGGTCGATCCTATGAGAGACGTGAACTGAGAATTGCCAGGATAACCAACGGAATTGCGCAGCCGAACAAGAAGGTGATCTTTATGGATGCCGCTCTCCATGCTCGGGAATGGACAACGCCCATCACCGCGCTCTATGTCATCCATCAGCTTGTGGTGGAGTCCAGGGAAAATGCCTATCTGCTGGAAAACACAGACTGGGTGATCCTGCCGTTGGCCAATCCCGATGGTTACGAGTACTCCCGGAACAATAACTTTTGGTGGCGCAACACGAGAAAGCCCAATGTGAACAATTGCTATGGCACAAATCTAAACAGGAATTTCGGTTTGGGTTGGGGAGAAGGATTTACGGAACTAAAGGATCCCTGCGACGAGAACTATGCGGGCACGGAACCCTTCTCTGAATCAGAGTCGCGTGCAGTGCGCGACATAATGCATTCGCTGGTGGACAATAAAATCGGATTCATGTATCTCTCCCTGCATACGGCCAATCGATCGATATTCTATCCCTGGGTCAATGAGCCGTAAGTTGTGATTTAACTATTGAAATTGAAAGTGTTACAGTATTAAATAATCAATATATTAGGTCAACCTCTCAAGCAGATAAGAGTATATTGCTGTGGACAAAATTAAAATGAAATATTAAAACAATACATGAATGATAAGAGAGCAATCCGAAACCAGAACCACATCAAGTCACCACAGATATGAGTCAAAATATATACTAAATGTTATTTTATTGTTCTTTTATATAGCTCCCCGATCCACAATAACCACGAGCATGAGGAGATAGCCCAATATGCCGCCGCCAGGATACGTTCGAGCACGGGGACGATCATCAAGCCCAATCAGGGATTCAAGTATGGTGGAAGAATTGGTGGCACCAGCGTTGACTATGCCTTCAGTTTGGGTTTCCCCCTGTCCTTTGTATTCGAAATGTCAGGAATGGGACCGAACGGAGTGGAGTACAAGTTCTTTCCACCCGCAAATTATATTCGCTATCTGGTTCATGAATCCTGGATGGGTATTCGAGCGCTGGGAGAGAAAGCCATTGAGAAATATCCTCCAACCAGACCAATGTATTTTCCTCAGCATCATAACCATGTCGAAAATTCGGCTCCAAAGAATCGAAACTTCTTGAACAATATCATGTGGAAAATCACTTCAATGATGGGACATGCTTTAAGCCATTTACCTTTATTTTAACTTTAGCACGAATAACTTGGATACTACAATAAACATAATGTAAAAACAATGAAAAACATTAGGAGAAATCATTCTGAATTGCATAAGTCATAGATCAATTTTCTCTCAGAATATTTGAAGACTTCAAATATAAGTGATATTGATTTATTTATTAAAGAAACCTAAATACATTTAAAATGTCTAAAGGGTTATGTATTAAAGTATCACTTCTTTTGAATTACAACTGAAACTGCCTTATGTTTGATACAACATTAAAGGTAAACATTATAAATCTGCTTGAATTTTGGGTAGTTCTCTCTCAAAAGACTCTTGAAGTCTTTAAAATAATTTTAATGTTCATATTTTCTTTTCCATCATCATCACCATTCTCTCTCTTTTCCCCTGCATTACGCATACGCCTCGTTGTCCGTGTGCTATCAACGTGACTTGGCTGCTTCGTGGTAGAGGAAAAGGGCTGCTGCTGTGGGGGGTTTTCGTGGAAACTCAAAAGGGGGAACTCGGCATATCACTCTCGTCGTCCGATACATTTCACATGCTGCAATTAATGCAACAAATTGCATTTTTAATATGCAAAATTAATGTGGAAAATCTTTCTGCAGCAGACGATGAAACGAGAATCGCACGAGATATGTACTCCCCGTTTCCAAGCATTTTATTTATAACAGTCATTGTGAAAATTGAAAATTCACATTCGGTCTACAATTAAAAACACTTTTCGCCGTCGTTTGCATACGTTCATACATATCGCATGAATGTACCAGTACTCCAGTGGATACAGCGTATATATTTAAAATAATAAAATGCCATTACAAAGTCAAAGTTGCTGGGCCCAGGAAGTCGCTGTTAATTAGTTTTTTCGAAGGCAGCTGCCTCTGACTGAGTCCAGAGATCCATCTAGCCATCCATTCAGCTCCCGAAGGGTGGTGTTGGATGTTGGTTGGGTCAAATGTTTTAATTTCCGCACGAATGTCTCTGGCGGAAATTACTTCAAAAAAAAGAAGTCCACGACCCGACAGACAGACAGTGTCAATGGGCTTCGCTTTGGGCTGAGAATAATTAGCAAAGTGGCTAAAATACAGAAGAGTATTTAAGCTAACAGACTGCTTAAGCTAACAGATTAGCGCAATTATCGCCACGCATGCACTCCGAGTTACATTTGAGTCCAAATCCGAATCGGACTCCGATTAGATACACGATCGACTGAGTCGAACTGCTCGGCTTGGTCAGTTTTTGCCCAGAGAATTCTGAATCAGAGTGAAAAATGCTGCTGATTCTACTGGTCGTGCTGCTGCTCACCGCCGGCTTTCTCGTCCATCTCAGCCAGGCGGATCGCCGCCGGAAGGTGGCCAATCTGCCAGGACCGTGTGTCCACCCTTTTTCGGAGCCCTCCATCTCATGTTCCAACTAAGTCCAAAGAGTGAGTTTTATAGATAGAAATATTTGAATTTTAGTTAAGTGAATAATATAATATTAAAGTGTATTTTAAATGCAAAAGTAACAGAAATAATTTAAGGTTTTATTTTAAGAAACATAGATGAAATGATTCGTCGACAGATCCATAGTTTTTTGAAGCAATTTTTTTAGATTAAATATACGTAATTGATTTTTTATTCAATCTAGTTGTAGTTTTTGTTCCTTATGGTTATCAGATTTGCGTTATTTAAACCCCAATCTATGTCTGCATATTTATTTTATATTTATATAATACATTCAGAATAATTTAAAAGATAAATACTATATAACTTCCCTTATTTAGTGAACTCATTTAGGCCGACGATCCGTGCAAAATAATAATAATAATTGGCAAATCCTAATCAATTTAAGTTCGATTAGGGACTCGATCCGCGTCATATAAATACAATTGCGTCTTTTGTAAAAATGCGATAATCTAAATAAAGTCATGTAATCTAAGAATCAAGACAGCTTAAGTTCAATTGTTCCCATTATAGTTACAGGCAATATTCAATAAGTGTAATGATTAAGTAAATAGTTGCTATATTATACACATTAACTGCAAAATAGTGAATTTATTTTGTAAATACTTGCTTTAGAATGATGTAAAGCATTTAAATAATATATATTTTGCTCTCCGTTGAGTCAACTTTTAAAGCAGCTGCTTATTGCCTCTGAGTTTACGCTACTGATAAGCCAGTTTTTAATGCATTTTCATTTGCAACTCTTTGCAATGAGAATAAAACAACAATTTTAAGTAGAATTTACTCTTTATTTCTCTCTTTATGCAAATTTCATTTGAGTAAAACTCGTTTCATTCATATTTTATAAGGCAAGATTGCAGCTTGTACTTGTTTCTTTTTTCAAAGTTAGAATTTTAATTCAATTATTATTATATAATATATCAGGTAGCTAGGTAAAGCAAAGAAGAATTTAAGCTATTCGCAAATGTTTTCTTTTTATTATCCCAGTTTCAGATTAGCAATATTTCCAGTTAAGAAAGAGTAAACAACTTTCTTGATAATTTTAAAATAATTAATCTCAAGCTAATAATACGCGTGTGCTTAATTTGGACAACAATTTAATGAAGATTAAGGTGAATCTATGTACAATCGCAAAGCCATTTATGAATGACCACTGCCAATAACCGCATTGAGTGCTTATCAATGAGAATTCTTTTTACATTGAGAAAAATAATTGCATAAAAATATATGATTACAAATGAAAGAAGAATGATTTTATTATTATTAAATGAAGCGATTTTGGTTTGATAAAAGATTAACATTTAATTTAATTCCAACTCTAAAGTGTACCATTTTATATTTGCAAATTTGTAAATAGTAGTTAGGTTATATTAAGTATAGGTAATATTAAGTATATATATTATTCTACAATAATAGCTTAATGGTTAATTGCTGATAACTCCCTTAATCGCTAATCAGCCTTCTGAAACTGGGTCGGGAGTACATCAGCCAATATGGACCTCTTCAGCGCGTTTGGGTCTTCAACCGTCTGCTGGTTTTAAGCGCTGATGCGGAATTAAACGAACAGCTCTTGAGTAGCCAGGAGCATCTGGTGAAGCATCCTGTCTACCGTGTCCTTGGCCAGTGGCTGGGTAATGGTCTCCTGCTTAGCGATGGCAAAACATGGCACCAGCGTCGCAAGATTATACACCCACCTTCCACTTTTCGATTCTGGAACAGTTTGTGGAGGTCTTTGATCAGCAATCGAATATTTGTGTAGAACACTTGGCTCCATGGGCCAATGGAGAGACTTTTGATGTCTATCGGTTTGTCTGTGCCGCAACTTTGGATATCATCGCGGAAACAGCCATGGGCACTAAAATACATGCTCAGGCCAACGAGAGCACTCCCTATGCGGAGGCTGTTAAAGAGTGAGTGAAATAAGATTTAAAGAATTGATAGTTCTTTAAATGAAATCAAATTTGATTTAGAACTGCTTAAAGATTAGGAAACTTACCAAAGTTAAAGCTGCATTTATTAAAAGTACCTCAAGCAATTTAACAAATTATTAGTCGACTTTTGTGCTCAGTTTTGTTTACCCATAATACATATAATTTTTAATAACAGATGCACTGCTCTGCTGAGCTGGCGCTTTATGTCAGTTTACCTTCAAGTGGAGCTGCTTTTCGCTCTGACTCATCCTCACCTGAAGTGGCGTCAAACGCAACTCATTCGCACCATGCATGCCTTCACCATTAAGGTGATCGAACAGCGTCGCCAGGCTCTAGAAGAGCAGCGAAAGGAATCTGGCTCTAACATAATGGAAGACGATGTGGGTTCCAAACGGCGGATGGCCCTGCTCGATGTCCTCTTAATGGCCACTGTGGACGGAAAGCCGCTAACCAATGATGAGATCCGTGAGGAGGTGGACACTTTCATGTTCGAGGGTCACGATACCACCACCAGTGCTCTTTCCTTCTGCCTGCACGAGGTGTCGCGTCATCCGCAGGTGCAGGAGAAGATGCTAGAGGAGATCCTGCGAGTGCTGGGCAATGATCGCAATCGACCCATCACCATTAGAGATCTTGGCGAGCTAAAGTACATGGAATGCGTCATCAAGGAGTCACTGAGGATGTATCCATCCGTTCCGATTGTGGGACGCAAATTGGAAAAGGACTTCAAGTACAGTAGGTATCCTTGGAAAAACTTGGCTTCCTTTTTCTCATAAGAACTTTAAACCGAAATAGCCAATAGTGTTTACGGAGATGGAGTACTGCCAGCGGCACAGAGTTCTTGATTGGAATCTATGCCATCCAGCGGCATCCGGACACCTACACCAATCCGGATGAGTTTATTCCCGAGAGGCATGAAGACGGCAAGCGTGTGGCGCCCTTCAAAATGATTCCCTTTAGTGCCGGACCAAGGAACTGTATTGGCCAAAAGTTTGCCCAGCTGGAGATGAAGATGATGCTGGCCAAGATTGTCCGAGAGTACGAGCTTCTGCCGAGAGGAGAGCGGGTTGAGTGTGTTGTAAATATTGTCCTGCGATCGGATACCGGCTTTAAGTTGGGAATGCGCAAGCGGAACAATACATAAGCTTAAGTTTTATAGGGTTAAAAGAGGGAATTTCTACTTATATTACTATCTTAGATACTCAGAAATATGTGCTAGGGTTTAAATTACAAATTAAGCATTGAAAAATATTATTTTTTATGAAAAAGAAAAGTTCAAAACGTTTAGTTTTCTTTGGGAATATATTTACACTTTTACTTAGCATTAATTTAACATTTTAAGTAACTAATATTATAAAAATCACACTGTTAACGCGGTTTCAAAGCCAACTGAAACCCATTGGATGACCCCAGGACAAGTCGCAAGTCCAAGCGGAGCTCATTTCCATAGGGTAAAAGTTCAAATCGGCTAAGAATAGGGACCAATAGAGTTTTCATTAGCTTTATGCTAAACATCCTGGCAGGACAGCTGCGAGGACCCAGGCCAAAGCTAAGAAGCTCCGGGGGATTGTCCAGAAACCGATCGCCTTGAAAGTGATTCGGTTTCGTATAGCGACTCTCATTGCGTTGCAGTTCATACAGATTAATGTAGATCTCAGCGCCAAAGGGTAGCTCTGCATCGCCCACAACACTGTGTGCTGTTAATTAAATTAATTTATATATTAATTAAAAAAATACCACACTAGTTAGCAAGCAATCTTACTGTAGGAAAAGTCGTTCTTCAATTGCCTTCCAACAATCACTTGCGGCGGATAAAGTCGCAGTGTTTCCTGAACCACAGAATCGAGATATGGTAGCTTTTCCAGGTTCCAATTTTGATCCTTTTTCTGGGCCTGTCTAAGCTCTTGTAAGCATCTTTCTTGAACCGAAGGATTCCTGGCAATGGAAACCAGAGCAAAGCTCAGAGCTGAACTGCTTAGTAAATAGCCTAAATAATTGCAGGTATTTAACTCTGCACAGATTTCATCATCTGTCAGATCCTGATCTTGGTTTTCAAGGAGTATCTGTAGGAGGGAATCATGCCACTTGGGTGGAAGAGGCTTTGAGTGATCTATCACCAAACCCTCACTGGTCTTCACCTTTGGCATCTGCTCCTGCCGATATCTATTGATTATATCCTTGTGTTCCGCGTTCAGTCTTTTAATGAGTTTATTCTGACGCCTTCGCATAAAGGAGAGCTTAGCCAATAGCTAAATCGGTTAGCAGACTGCAGGCTCAAAAAGCGTTTTCTGTAGAGTTCTGTCAATCTGAAAAGGTAAACAGAAACAGAATAATTGTATAGAATAAGATTAAATATAATAAAGTACATCTAAATAACTTACTCTACTAGATCTTGGCATAATCCTCACTGGGACTCACGCCACAGGTGGTTTGCACTATGAGATTTAAGATCGAGGGAGAGACAATCTCCCAGGCGTTAAATACACTGCCATCCGCCTGTTCCATTAGCTTTTGCTGCATTTGCTCCGCCTGCTGGCGACATAGCTCCGTCAGCGGATCCATGTTCTCCTTCCGAAAGAGTCTGCTGATAAGACCATGTCTTGGCTGCCACTTATCCTGCTGGCACATTAATATGCCGCCACCTAACCAGTCTTTCATTAGCTCATAACCCGTCTCCAAATGCTTCTCGCTCTCCAGGAGCTGCCTGGCGAGCTCCAGATCCGCCAGGGGAATGAATAACCTATGGAAGGCCCAGCAACGACTCAGGGAACCATATTTCGTGAGATATTCAGCACTGCGCTTAAAGAAACCTATCGGAATTGATTAGAAAATACCCATAAAATTGCTTATTTATTTACCTACTTTTTGGTTTAAGAAAAATAAACTTGTGCATGGATCCCAAGAGCGGGCAGGTGAAGGGTCCTTTGAGATTCGTGATCCGCAAGCGTTGCCGCCGCGTCCTGAAATAATTAAAGCCGAGGCCAGGCAGAAGCACACGAACGTAGTGGTCAAGATCATGGTTCCAACTGAGCTAAGAATTCGGAAATAAAGACTGTTTAAAGGCTGATCGAGGGGCAAAGCTAATCTCTTGGGGCCTTAAATTTTGCAGATTCTTATCGGTGCCAAAGCCCCCATGTTTGGCCAAAAATAAGCCAAACGATAGTCAAATCTAAAGCTAAGCTGAGATAAGTAGGCAATATAGTATTCATTTTTTTACTTTTAAATGACGTATTGCTTGATATCACTTGATCAATAATGAATTTATTGAATTATAAAGATAATTATAAATATGTGTGATAAGGAAATCAACAAACTCTTATGGAGTTTTTGTGTTATTCAAATAACTTTATTTTATGAATGAAAAATCTGTAGATACTAGAATGTTTAGGCAGGAAATCTTTGTATAAATTCTTATTTGAATTATAATAAATGGGTTTCTTAAAAAAGATGAATACTTAGTGAAATTAAGTATCCGCCACATAGGTTCCACAAAATGTTGCTGATTGACTTGGCAACATGTTGCTAAGCAGACAAAGCTAACGCAGTGTTTTATTTGGAAGCCGTTCTAATATTGAAATATTTGTGAAATATGTTGCTTCTATAACTAAAACATTGATAATAAATATGTAATTATGGTATTTTTATTTCCCTGTTAAATAGGTTTAATTTTCATATATTATTCTGACCCTAAAATTGCTACATAAAAGTGTACACATGGCAGCTTCTCCGCTCTAACAAGCCAACTTGATTGGCCAAGACGAAAATTGCCAATACCCAACGGAGGCGGGGATGGGATCCAGCAGCTGTGTGTTTGTGTGCGCCATCTGTGAGATACACGAAGTCAGCTACAAGATACAAGATACACTCGTGCGATGCTTGGCTGATAAATATTTAAAGACTCACCTAACATTTATGGGGACGAGATTCGAAACTATTAAGCAAACCAATTTGGGGCAATTGTGTATGGGGAAGGATTCCAGCCAGCGGGCATTATCCGGAATCCGGAATCTGAAATCCGGTTCCACGGAGCAGCTGCTGTCCCCCGGAAAGCAAACAAATCTTTTGTCTTTTACCAGAGCTGCGGTTGCCGGGGTCACCACTTCAATCTCATGCCCCAGCTCCACAAAACCATCACAACCATCACCATTGAGGGTTGGTCAACCCTTTCAGCAGTTGGACTGTCAAAAGTACATTTGCCTTGGTTGCGCCACAGAAGTATCCCCGAAGCAAGTAATGACAATATCAGCAGGACCTTCTCCGCCTCCGCCTCCGCCACCGCCTCCGCCTCCGCCTCCACCTTCTGCCTTCAAATTTGTATATTCTTGCCTTCGGGGAGTTGGAAAGTTGGGCAGCCAAAAAGGGGCCGAGGAGCTGTTGAACCAAGAGTTTGTTGTGTTCCACTCTCATTTTGCGGCGTTGATGAAACTTTAATGACACACAATACGCATTCAAGCCAAGCAGAACGGCCATGTGTCCAGCTTCTATCTTCATTTTGCTACGTTTTTTTGCAGGCTACACTGGGAAAATAAGTTTAAATGAATTTATAGAACCTAAATTAAACCAAAAAATAATATTTATTTTTTATACTTTCATTTTACTAAGTAATTAACAAAGTTTTAGAAGTGTACAAGTAGATTTTTTGCAAGTAAATACTTTATTTATTTTTATTCTGTTTATTTTCCCTGACTCTCTCTATACAACTTGTATTTTTGTTAAGTGCACTCTACTATTTTTCTGCACAATTTCATTTTAAGGCAACGTACAAAGCCGGCTAATGGCGGCTAATGAAGGCAGTTTTATTGGGGGATTTTTTGGTCCGTTGAACCCGGTTCAGAGCATTCGCTGTCTCCCCGGTTGGCCATATCCTGCATATCCGAGTGTGCGAATGTATTTATGAGGTATTCATGCATTCATACGTCAATGTCACGGACAACTCCAAGGACTCTTCGGTCCGCAAATGGGTGCAATGGCCAACGAGGAGCCACCAAAACCAGACATATCCACTACCAACTCGCAATATGCAAATGAACGAAAAAATTTGATGACATCGTCGCCGTTGACAATGAAAACTAAGCAAAAGTACAAAAGCCAGAAGTCCGAGTGAGAGCTACGCAAAAACGGAAAATATCATAGGGGAAAAAATTGGAGTACGACAAACGGCGGCAGGATACGAATCCTTTTCACAGGCCTGCCGAATATGCGCTCCTGCGAAAAAGTTAAAACAAAGACATTGCAACAATTTACATTCCCATTGTTTGCCTCGGCTGCAGATACAAGTTTTGCAAAAAAAAGAGGCAGATAGTTAGATACAGACACATGCATGGTACAGTACGTTTCAGGAAGAGAAAAACTGTTTTTTAAGGGCTTTGATATGAGCTCAGATCAAAGGACTGAAATTTTAATAAATAACAAGAAAGAAACAAAGTTTCGGATGCCAAAGTTGATATACAATTGCAGTTGCAATTGAGTTATAGGATCGAATCGGAAAAAGAAAAATTAATACTATTTTAAGATGAGATACTTGAAATTCTTAAGTGAGAATAAATAAGAACTATAACTTTACTACAGAGCTTTCATGGTCAAATAAAAACTAATTGTATATAAAGTATATACATAATATGTTAAATATTTGCTTGTTTATATATACAAAATATCTCTTATTGATTTTGAAACGCGCTGTACATTTTCCTATAAATTGCAAATGCTGTCGGTCAGCCGCCAAGTTAGAGCAAGAAGCGAGCCACAAACACTAGGAAAGCAAAGGACAACAGGAGTAAAGGATATGTGCTGTAAGAACTAAAAGGACTAAGGACAGGAAAAAATTGGAATGCAAGTATAGAAAAGTTAGGTCACATCGAAAAAGGAAACAAAAAATATTGTAAACTCAAAATAATATTTTGTGACAGTGAGCATAAAATTGAAGAAATTACCAATAAAATTGACCTATATCCTTGTCTGAATATATATATCAAAATGTTATAAAGGGTATCTCTAAAGGCATCTAAGTCTGACTATTTCTCGCCATTGTGAATGGCGGCATTGTTGTTGTCTTTTTTCCTTGCTGTCGTTGGCAACCGGAAGCATTTTGCATGAATTGCCCATAAAAGTGATATGCACATCAAGATTGTCCGATGTGAGTGTTGTGATAAGCGCGAAAATTTGCTTACTAGCTGGAAAAACTTTAAGGTGGATCATTCCTCACTCGCAGAGCTGCTAATCAAGACGAACAGCACTCTAGGCTAGACATTTAATTTGGATACTGCAGCTAAAAGGTTGCCATCAGTCTCAGGAACGTCCTATGTGCGCATTAACCAGCGGTTAACCAACCCTTAACCACAAGAAGCTAACGGCCACCCCCTAACTACCCGAACAACCCATTAACCGCCACCCATTAGGCATCACCCATTATGAGCTTGGGATTGAGAGGAACTATGGTAACACAGAGAGAAATAATTATGTGACATTTATTTTAAAGTTGAAAGGAATAAGTTTATGATTCTTCCTACTGTTAAATGTTAATCTGACTCTGTTAGCTTTTCTCTCTGTGTGAGTCTCCATACACACTAGCATATTAATAGCTCCACAGTACTTTTCCTTGGTCCCCAATCCCATCGTCATATCCCAGATGTCATATGTCAGGCGTCTGTAATAATGCGAGCTGATGACTGCGTTATGATTACTGTCAGCGGCAGGCACTCAATGAATAAGCAGATGAGAGGGTGTCATCCTTCCCCACCTTCTCCTGCGACGTCCTTGTGGGGCTTATCACGCACTTTACCGCCCACTCCAGGACCACATGTGACTTGAGGTGGCCCGCAGCGCCAACAACTTTGACTCGGCAACAATTTATCACGGCCAATTTAACCACTTAAGTGCGAAAAAGGTTTCGGTAGACTTTCCACACACACCGCACACGTAGAGTGAAATGTGTGCAAAATGAAATATTGAATGAGTGCTGCAACTCTGGCAGCCTGCAACCTGCAACTTGCAACCTGCAACTGCAGCAATGCAGTGACAACGAGCCAGCGGCATTTCAGGCCAGAATCTGCATCTGTATCTGCATCTGAGTTGGAGTTTGGCCACCGCCACTGACCACTGAATCTGTATCTGTATCTGTATCTGTAGCAGTATCTGTATCTGTATCTGCTCTGCCAGCGGCATTTATTTGTTTACAATCTGTTTCGAGCAAAGCTGCCGCAAGGCTTAAAAATCTGTATTTGGACACCAGTAGGGAATGTATGGGGGTTGAGGTCCTGGCGCACAAGGACTAATTGAAAAGGACAGTTACCATAAGCGGGCATACACCATATCAAATTGTTTTTTCTTTTAATATTTTTACAAAAATATATAGTGATGAATTGGTTTATCACATAAAATATGTCAATTTATCATATCTAATGAAAGCACTAACAATTCCTCTTAAATGTACATTTACTTTGTACTATAAATTGTACTATTATTGTGAAAATAGTTTTATAAAGAGTTGATTATAAAGTCAGAGGTACAACATATATGAATCTAGTTATTTTTAGAAAGCATTAAAGATCTATATTTGTTATAGGTTTCTTATTGAATTTAAGAAAGAATTAGGGTAATGTTGTTATTATACTGGTAATATAATATTTATTCATTAAAAATTATCATCATATCATGATTATTTTTAATTCTTATTTGTGGATTTACTTGGCGTTAACAGTTTGGCATGACTTATTTATATCAAAAATAGAATAAGTTTAATCTTCAAGTATTTAATATTAAATCTTTTAAATCCCCTAAAATATATACACTTTTGAGCTCATATTTCTCTCCAAGTTAATGTGTTAATTGCTTTTCTTGTGACTAAAATGGGGTTTAAAGCTAGCGCCACTCATGGAACATGGTCCAAAGGGCTTAAATGTAATGCTAAAGAGCCACTTCAGTTGAATGGCATCAAATCGGCTTTGGCCACACTCTTTTTCAGTCACTCTCCACACACAAATACACATGTGTGTAAAAGTGCAAATTCATGTTTTGTTTGA